CTATCTAACCTGAAAATCAATCCCTCAAAAAGTGAGATCTTAAATATAAAATATCCTAAAGGCCAAGAAAGAAATTCTACAAAAAGAATTCCCCTTTAAATGGAAAGAAAAAGAACTAAAGTATTTGGGAATAAAATTAACAGTCTATAAAAAAAAAAAAATTAGGCAAATTATGTTTAGTTAATATACGAGATAAAGGATGAATTGAGGAAAGCTTCCACGGGAAAGCAGTCCTGGATAGGTCGGACAAATATAATTAAGATAATAGTACCAAAAGTTTTGTATAAATTTAATATGCTCCCAATATCTCTTCCAGGGACTTTTTTTTTTTAGGTTTCATAAAAAAAGATAGATATGTGTGGGTTAACAGAACACCAAGAGTTAAAAATGAAGTTTTATGCAGGAAAAAAAAAAAAAGGGGGGGATTAAAATGACAGATTTTAAGAGATAATATAATTCGGTGTTATAACGAATTGTAGAGTAAAAATATAATGCACAGGGGAGACATTGGGTAAAAATAGAGAGTTTACTTAGTAAGGTACCATTAGATAAGTATATTTGAATACCGCAAGAATTCTGTACATGGGATGAGGATACAAGCACTTTGACACGGAATGTATTTAGGATTTGGGATGAAATAAACTTTCAATTCTTCTGCTTGTGTAACTCATTGTCAATCCAGTTAGCGGGAACTAAATTTTTTCCGCCCAGCAACAATAATATTTTAGGGAAATGGATAACGGATAGAAATGCACGTAAAAGATATTGTGGATAAAGGGGTTTTATGTTCTTTATTTGATTTGAAGAATAAGAAGGAAATATTTTCTGCACTAGATGAGTGGAGGTATGGTCAAATAAGTCATTTTGTTGCAAAGCTCCCACAACCACTAAGGACCGAGGAAGAATTGTATCCTTTAGAACAATTGAGTACAAATAGAACACAAAAACACACTACCTCTAGGATTTATAGAATCCTTACTGAAATAGAGGGATCAGTACCCCACAATTTTTTTGGAAAAGTGAAACAGAGCTTGGAACAAAACTGAGTGAGCAACAAAAAAGTAAAATGTTTAGTTTAAACACATGGGGCGGTGAATATGAATAAAGTGGAAATGAATTATAAATGTCTGGTAAGATGGTACATTACACCTAGCGTGATGCATAAACTAAGGCCAGGGGTCTCATCCCAGTGCTGGAGGGGATGTGGGAGTAAGGGTACAATGGCACATATCTGGTGGGAATGTCCCAAAATACAGGAGGCGTTTTGGAGGGAGATGCAATATATACACAAGAGATCCAGAGAATTGTGTACCAATGGACCCGTGGGCTTGCGTATTTTATAAATCAGACCTTTCAGTGAAGCAACATAAAAATATGATAATGTTCCATCCTTTAAATGTGGCCAACAGCCTATTCCCAAATATTGGCAAACAGAATCCCCAAAAATAAAAGATTGGATGGAAAAGTTTGAATCATACCATATACAGTCAGGTCCATAAATATTGGGACATCGACACAATTCTAAAATTTTTTGCTCTATACACCACCACAATTTTGAAATGAAACGAACAAGATGTGCTTTAACTGCAGACTGTCAGCTTTAATCTGAGGGTATTTACATCCAAATCAGGTGAACGGTGTAGGAATTACAACAGTTTGCATATGTGCCTCCCACTTGTTAAGGAACCAAAAGTAATGGGACAATTGGCTTCTCAGCTGTTCCATGGCTAGGTGTGTGTTATTCCCTCATTATCCCAATTACAATGAGCAGATAAAAGGTCCAGAGTTCATTTCAAGTGTGCTATTTGCATTTGGAATCTGTTGCTGTCAACTCTCAAGATGAGATCCAAAGAGCTGTCACTATCAGTGAAGCAAGCCATCATTAGGCTGAAAAACAAAACAAACCCATCAGAGAGATAGCAAAAACAATAGGCGTGGCCAAAGCAACTGTTTGGAACACTCTTAAAAATAAGGAACGCACCGGTGAGCTCAGCAACACCAAAAGAGCCAGAAGACCATGGAAAACAACTGTGGTGGATGACCGAAGAATTCTTTCCCTGGTGAAGAAGACACCCTTCACAACAGTTGGCCAGATCAAGAACACTCTCCAGGAGGCAGGTGTATGTGTGTCAAAGTCAACAATCAAGAGAAGACTTCACCAGAGTGAATACAGAGGGTTCACCACAAGAGGTAAACCATTGGTGAGCCTCAAAAACAAGGAAGGCCAGAGTGAATAAAGGGTTCACCACAAGATGTAAACCATTGTGAGCCTCAAAAACAGGAAGGCCAGATTAGAGTTTGCCAAATGTCATCTAAAAAAGCCTTCACAGTTCTGGAACAACATCCTATGGACAGATGAGACCAAGATCAACTTGTACCAGAGTGATGGGAAGAGAAGAGTATGGAGAAGGAAAAGAACTGCTCATGATCCTAAGCATACCACCTCATCAGTGAAGCATGGTGGTGGTAGTGTCATGGCGAGGGCATGTATGGCTGCCAATGGAACTGGTTCTCTTGTATTTATTGATGATGTGACTGCTGACAAAAGCCGCAGGATGAATTCTGAAGTGTTTTTCGGGCAATACAGAAGAGAATAGAAGAGAATGGAACTGGTTCTCTTGTATTTATTGATGATGTGACTGCTGACAAAAGCAGCACGATGAATTCTGAAGTGTTTCGGGCAATATTATCTGCTCATATTCAGCCAAATGCTTCAGAACTCATTGGACGCCGCTGCTTCACAGTGCAGATGGACAATGACCCAAAGCATACTGCAAAAGCAACCAAAGAGTTTTTTAAGGGAAAGAAGTGGAATGTTATGCAATGGCCAAGTCAATCACCTGACCTGAATCCAATTGAGCATGCATTTCACTTGCTGAAGACAAAACTTAAGGGAAAATGCCCCAAGAATAAGCAGGAATGAAGACAGTTGCAGTAGAGGTCCTGGCAGAGCATCACCATGGATGAAACCCAGCATCTGGTGATGTCTATGCATTCCAAACTTCAGGCTGTAATTGACTGCAAAAGATTTGCAACCAAGTATTAAAAAGTGAAAGTTTGATTTATGATTATTCTGTCCCATTACTTTTGGTCCCTTAACAAGTGGGAGGCACATATGCAAACTGTTGTAATTCCTACACCGTTCACCTGATTTGGATGTAAATACCCTCAAATTAAAGCTGACAGTCTGCAGTTAAAGCACATCTTGTTCGTTTCATTTCAAATCCATTGTGGTGGTGTATAGAGCCAAAAAAGTTAGAATTGTGTCATGTCCCAATATTTATGGACCCGACTGTAGATGAGGGCAAAATGGAAAAATTTAAGAAGGCCTGGGAAGGATGGTATATTTTCAAAAAAAATCAAAAAGATTTTAAGAAGTGTCTGGCGTGTAGGGGAATAAAGAAAATAAATAAGGAGCTGGGAAAAAAAAAAAAAAAAAAAGGGGGAAAAGATAAAAAGGAGTAGAAATAGTAAGATAGATTAATAAAAAAAAAAAAAGATCAAGAAGTAAACCGAAGGAATAAGGAGACAAGGGGTGGGGGTGGGGTAAATATGTACAGATTTTTGTATGGTATGATGTTGGTTAGAAATGGATTTGTATGATAAAAAAATAATAATAAAAAGATAATAAATAAAAGAAGCACAATCACCTATGGTAGAGGTTGTCTTATGATACTGTGCACTGTGACTTGACTGTAAAGATTTTCTTCATTTTAGAATAGTTAAAGAAGTATAATATAAATACTTATTTGACAGCAGAGCTAAACTTGTAAAGTTTCATAATTTATAGCAACCATTTTTTAGGTAATTCCAGACACAATAAAACAGCATCCAATTTAGTTTTGGGTAATCTGCCCATTCACAAATATACAATTAGTTTTAGTTGCATCAAAGGCGGGGGGGGAAGCAAATCGAGAAACCCCTCTTTTTGAGATGCTGTATTCTAACACTGATCTGAAGCCAGCCACTGATCGAGGAAACATTTTCAATATATCCTGTCAATCAGTGTATGGCCCATTTTAGTGTACTTTGCACCACACTATTACATTACCACATAAATCTATCAATGTCCACTGCAGCTTTAGAACAGTACTTATATGTTCAGGAAGTTATGCAAATTTAAACTTTACATTTAAACCAAATTGTGAAAAAAAAGGTCCATGCTCAGTTCAGGAAAGTGAACTTGACACCTGTGCATATGAAATGGGTAAGAAAGGGTTGGAGGCTTTGAGGATCCCTGTTCTGGGCATGGCACAGAGAGCCTGCAAGTGTCTTACATCACAGTGCTGATTGGAACCCCCTATAATTAAGGGGTCTCCATTTTTGGTAAGCCTCCATTTAATTATTTGATGGTGGTACACACCCTGGTGACTATTTGAAGGAAGATTATCCACATTGCACCTACAGCATCAATTTACAGCACCATCACTGACTGTGGAGTCTCTATCTTTATATGGATGTTTACATGAACAATAAGTTACTGTTTTGACCATATCTCACAGTTTTTCTATGTACACTTGTGATTAGTGTATTTTGCACAGTATTACTTAATTTTTTATTTGTCTTGATCGCCTTTCAGGAGGTATGAGGGTCTTTATAGTGTATATGCATGTTGTATGAAATTTAATGGTTAAACATAGAGCAGTATTTATTTAAGTTTTTATAAAGAGAGGATATCCCCTTTAATATTTGCAGCTTTGTGACATAAGGTGATTAGAGATTTGCGCGTTTTGACCCCATTTATATGAGCATTATGGCCTGCACAAACGGTCACGTGAAAGCAGCCCAAGTGAGAGCTACAACAAAACCCAGAGGGCAGAAGCAAAGTAGAATAACATATGCCCCCGCTGCAAAAGGAAAGCAGTCTGCTATCCTCACTTAGGAGAGCTGACCCTGCCATGTAAAGGCCAACACAGCAATGCCACACTGTAGCTGACACAAAGTCCTTTCTGAGAGCTCTGCATTCATGAAAAGCAGCACATAAAAGTTTCAAGACAAACCTGAAAGACTCCTTCATCCCTGTAGGAAGGGAAATTCTCCACAACCAGATGCATCAGTTTTACAGCACTCTTCTCACTCGCTTTCACACAGTTCAAGAATGAGAGCCTCCAAATTTCTCCATGAGAATCTTTCCTGTCTGGTGAAGGATCTCCAGACGTTCTTCAATCATTGGGATGGGAAACTCTGAATCACTACGCAGAATGTGTTTCAGCTGGTCCATGGTTATATCGGCATAAAATGATGCAGTAGTAAGAGGTATCCCTAGAGACATGAAGCTCTATTATTAAATACCAGCATTTTTTTTTTTTATAATTAAAAAAAAAAAAAATTATGTATATTTAGGAGCACAACATAAGTATCCATAGATCAAGCATATTCCTTACACTTGTCTAAGCTGTGGAATTGCATTAAAGCTCTTGCACATGTGCAGAAAGCAGCAGGACTCTGCCAGTCTATGGGACCTGACAGAGCCATGCGACATGTCTGTGAATGCCTGGAGGGGTGTCATCTGAATATAAACACATGCTGCATGGCCTGCAGCATGTCTGTGTCTGCGCATGTGTGACATGTTGGGCCAAGATGGTGACATAGGAGCACAGTGACAAATTGGGCTGAAGGAGGACAATGGTGAACTCCATGGACTAGTAAGTATATATTTTTATTCTATTTACATTCAAAAAACATTACCAGGCAATTAAAAAAAAAAAAATAGCTAGGTAAGGGTGACGTTTCTCTTTAAGCGGTTTCCCCCTGGAGAATGCCCAAAAGGAGACCTGGGTATTTTTTTTTTTTTTTTTTTTAAAGCCGCACTTCTACACATCAGTGGCTCTTAGTGATCTTTGTACACTTGTGTATCAGTTCTCCCATGTGTTTGCAGATCCAAGTACCAGCTTATTCCAGATGCAGAAAAAAATAGGGCAAGGTACATTTGACTGGCAAAGTCCCATATCTGATGAAGCAGCATTTGATCAGTGTATGATTCACTACTGTGCAGCCAATACGCAAAATAGTGAAATGCAATAACAAATTTGTATCTAACTGGTTTATCCTTCATCAAAATTGATCACAATTTATTTGTAATACTTAAAGTGAAGGGACTAAAGGCTCTCTTCCATTTTGAAAGAGATCAGTATCGCCTACACAAATCATGCCACACCGGCCTACAATAGCCAGACATCCATCATTGCCAAGTGCCAATCATGTACATGATCTTTATGAAGTGGTTAGGTTGTAGAAGATCCATACACAGCTAAAGTGTCTTGTCCTGTTGCAGGATTACACTCCCTTCATTTCTCTGACAATGATGGCAAGCTTCTAGTGGTCACTGGCTGCTCCATAACATCCATATCCAAACAAAGAAAGAAGCACAAGCCGATCCCCCTGTCTTACAAGCCCTATGGGACAGGTGGAGTGGCTTGTGCTTGGAATATTTCAATAAATGTACACAAGGCTTTTTCTTTTGTGTTTGGAGGTTGTGGAAGAGCTTGGATTAAAATTTCAACATGATGAAATCCTTGGATGTTATTTTTGAGAATAAAAAAAAACACCCAAAAAAAAAAAAAAACCCTGCACCTGCACAGGATGAAATAAGTGCATGGTCTACTGAGACATGTTCCTGTTTTGTAATACCAAGAGGCTGTGCTAAAGTGTTGACTTCAAAGGTTGTATAGAAATAGGCATAGAAATGTCTGTCCTAAGTTCAGGGTCTCCCAAAGCATACAGTCCCAATATCATGTACAAGCAGTGTATGGTGTCTCATTACTAATTTAATTATTGCTTTTTGTCAATTCACATGTAATATTTATTTCACATGAAAGGCAAAGCTCTTCCTATGCCATTCTTCTTATCCTATATATAAGAGCATATGATGGAACCCAAACAAGAGCAATCAGGCCTTACCCTTACTCACAACGTGATCATTCATAGCCCTGTCCAGCAGCTTACAGGATATTTAAAGAAATGTTATTAAGTTTCCTTTTCAAAGCTGTCTTACACTTGAAAACTGACAGCTTTCCAGCATAAATTTTGTTCACTTAGTAGTAACCAACCCTTGGTAAAAAAAAACATTTTATTATCAGTGTCTGTCCCACCTGCTCCAGATTGTGGTAAATCCCCCATTGCTCCCTCAGTAATGCCCATAACAGTAAACACTCTACATACCCTCGTGTTGCAACTTTCTGGAGTGTCTGCACTAGCTTCTTTCACATTTCACCCTACAATGTCTGTATTAGCTTCTCCGGCAGTTGTTCCCACTTTCTGAACATGGAAATGCCTCCTTCACCAGTCCACAAGGTACTCTCCCACAGCATATGCTATATTTACTTTATAGGGAACAGTTACTGCATACTTTTTATTTATTGCTTTTGATGCATAATTTCTACTTAAAAAGTGATTGTTATTTAGGAAAAACAAATTATAGATTTTACAAACAGGTTTACAGTTAACTGCTCTGTGCAATTCTAGAATTCCAGTGTGGCCCCTAACCTCCTCTTCTTGGGTCTTCTACCGACGTTCCTGGCTCCTCCTCTTCTCAGTGTGTCACCATTGGATCCCACTTCCTATCATGACACACCTGTGTGCTCAATCCCAAGTCTCACTATCTGTGTCCACTGACACAGACAGAGGGGCTCCTGCTGCTCTCAGCCAAGCGTGGGAGAGCAGGGAGAAGAGAGCCGCTGCAGACATACACAGTGCTAGATGGAGTAAGGGCTCAGGTAAGTATTAAGGGGGTGAGGGGGCGATAATTTAACCTAAACATTTTTTACCTTAATGCAACGAATACATTAAAGTAAAAAATGTTTAGGCTTTACATCCACTTTAAATCCAAGTATTTGCTAGCCAGAGCAGCTAGTTTACCCCAGCTTACAGCGGAGCTCCACCCAAAAGGAGAAGTTTCGCTTTAATGCTTTGTCCCCCGCTCCCCATTAAGGATTGGCACCTTTGGGGAGCGGGTACCAGAATTTGACAGGTACCCGCTTCCACTTTCGTTGCGATCGCCTAGGTCAGTGGTCGGCAAGCCGCGGCTCGCGAGCCACATGCGGGTCTTTACACACGCTAATGCGGCTCTTCTGTGTGCCGGGCGCCCGCTCCCCTCCCTCCTCTCGGGCGGCCACCCCAAAAGTCAGGACCTTTAAATCCGGCCCGCGGATGTGGCTGTCAGGATGTGTGTAGGCGGGGCAGCGTGACGAGCGTGAGGGGAGCTAGGCTCCTCTCACAGTCCGCCCTGAAGACCGGAACGGCGCAGGAAAACGGCGAGAGGAACGCGCGGAGCAAAGGTAAGTGAATTGACACAGGGGGGACTTGGGGACTTAATATGGGGAATGAATTACTATATGGGGGATGAATTACTATATGGGGGATGAATTTCTATAAAAACTTATTGAAACTAAAAACAGTGTACCATCCTATGTATTTTCAGTTTTAAAAATGTGGCTCTCAAAATAAATTTCAATTGTGGTTTTGGCGAGATTTGGCTCAGTTGAAAAAAAAAAAAAAAGGTTGCCCACCACTGGCCTAGGTGATCGGAAGCAGAAGTTGTCCTCCCTCCCTGTAGTCTTCTGGGGTACGTGACAGATCCCAGAATACTACAAGGCCATTCACAAAATACAGCTTCTCGCACATGCGCAGTGGGCACCCGGCTGTGAAGCCGCAAGCTGTCACAGCTGGGTGCCCACAATAAAGATGCTGGCGCCAGGGAGAGAAGACCACCGGTGAAACCATCGGTGGAGAGGACACCACTGGACCGAGGGACAGGTAAGTGTCTGTATTTTAAAAGTCAGCAGCTACAGTTTTTGTAGCTGCTGACCTCTATTTTTTATTTCATCTGGAACTCCGCTTTAAAGCGTATCTGTGGTCAAAACATAAAATCATACATTTATTTCTACGTTGTAGGTCAACTATTTCTGGCCTACTTCGATACTACGGATCTTGGAATCCTGTAAACATCCCCACACGTTTACTTCCTTGAAAACCTGTGAGAAGTATTCACCAAGCCCTGTGAGACACATTTCACAGAGCCTGCCCTTTGACCTACAGAGTTTCAGGAGGCGGAGTCTGTACAGGAATCACTACTTGCAGGCAGCAACATACCATGGGATATGTAGCTCTTTGAAACTGAAATTAAACTGCAAAGGAGGCTGCAAACCCTGCAGGGAATCCAGAAAGTTGTGGAAAGAGATGGCCAGCAGACAGGTAGAACATGAAAGGAGACTTTCAAGTAAGCTTATAATTGATTGTTAAATAACTATTGTTTGTATTGCAATTACAATGTTGACATTACAAAATGAAAGTGTATGCTGTGACCATAGATTTCCTTTAAATGTACAGTCAGGTCCACAAATATTGGACATCAACATAATTCTAACATTTTTGGCTCTGTACACCACCACAATGGATCTGAAATGAAACGAACAAGATGTGCTTTAACTGCAGACTGTCAGCTTTAATTTGAGGGTATTTACATCCAAATCAGGTAAACGGTGTAGGAATTACAACAGTTTGCATATGTGCCTCCCACTTGTTAAGGGACCAAAAGTAATGGGACAATTGGCTTCTCAGCTGTTCCATGGCCAGGTATGTGTTATTCCCTCATTATCCCAATTACAATGAGCAGATAAAAGGTCCAGAGCCCATTTCAAGTGTGCTATTTGCATTTGGAATCTGTTGCTGTCAACTCTCAAGATTAACCAAAGAGCTGTCACTATCAGTGAAGCAATCCATCATTAGGCTGAAAAAAAAAACAAAAACAAACCCATCAGAGAGATAGCAAAAACATTAGGCATGGCCAAAACAAACTGTTTGGAACATTTTTAAAAAGAAGGAACGCACCGGTGAGCTCAGCAAAACACCAAAAGAACCAGAACACCACGGAAAACAACTGTGGTGGATGACCAAAGAATTCTTTCCCTGGTGAAGAAAACCCCTTCACAACAGTTGGCCAGATCAAGAACACTCTCCAGGAGGTAGGTGTATGCATTGTCAAAGTCAACAATCAAGAGAAGACTTCACCAGAGTGAATACAGAGGGCTCACCACAAGATGTAAACCATTGGTGAGCCTCAAAAACAGGAAGGCAGATTAGAGTTTGCCAAACGACATCTAAAAAGCCTTCACAGTTCTGGAACAACATCCTACGGACAGATGAGACCAAGATCAACTTGTACCCAGAGTGATGGGAAGAGAAGAGTATGGAGAAGGAAAGGAACTGCTCATGATCCTAAGCATACCACCTCATCAGTGAAGTATGGTGGTGGTAGGTTTCATGGCGTAGGCATGTATTACTGCCAGTGAACTGGTTCTCTTGTATTTATTGATGATGTGACTGCTGACAAAAGCAGCAGGATGAATTCTGAAGTGTTTCGGGCAATATTATCTGCTCATATTCAGCCAAATGCTTCACAACTCATTGGACGCTTCACAGTGCAGATGGACAATGACCCAAAGTATACTGCAAAAGCAACCAAAGAGTTTTTTAAGGGAAAGAATGGAATGTTATGCAATGGCCAAGTCAATCACCTGACCTGAATCCGATTGAGCATGCATTTCACTTGCTGAAGACAAAACTGAAGGGAAAATGCCCCAAGAACAAGCAGGAACTGAAGACAGTTGCAGTAGAGGCAGGCAGAGCATCACAGGGATGAAACCCAGCGTCTGGTGATGTCTATGTGTTCCAGACTTCAGGCTGTAATTGACTGCAAAGGATTTGCAACCGAGTATTAAAAAGTGAAAGTTTGATTTATGATTATTATTCTGTCCCATTACTTTTGGTCCCTTAACAAGTGGAGCACATATGCAAACTGTTTGTAATTCCTACACCGTTCTCCTGATTTGGATGTAAATACCCTCAAATTAAAGCTGACAGTCTGCAGTTAAAGCACATCTTGTTTGTTTCATTTCAAATCCATTGTGGTGGTGTATAGAGCCAAAAATGTTAGAATTGTGTCGATGTCCCAATATTTATGGACCTGACTGTATGTATGGAACAGCTCTACAAACCTTCATCCAGGGCTCTGTTCATTGCAGCACAGAAAGACCAGTAGCCACTGTACTCTTTTCCTTTGTAATTCACCAGGAACTTCTTATCGTCATGTTCAGACCAGAAGGAGAAATTTAAGGTGTCTGCAAAAAACACCCAATTCACGGCATCTTCTCCTGAGTCCTGTGGGTTGAGTTCATGCATTGATTTCCATCCCTTCAGAGTGATCTCCTTCCTTCCAATCTTCTCAAACAACTTCTCAGCAAGTGAGCGCACACCCTCTGGCTCCACAAATACATCCTTACTGTTCTCAGTGATTAATTTACCTGCCGCTCTGGGTTCAAGTGGAACTGACATTGTACCGCTGTGAACTGTTGAGTAAATAGAAAAGTCCTTAAAACCAACAAATACAAATCAATATACAGGTCCAAAGCACCACTCAGTCTGTCTATAGCTCTTATGGGCAAGGCTGCAGTCAACCCAAACACAGGGCGGACTAGAACCACGGAACACACATTTACAGGGTAAGACTCAGCTGAAAGGATTTATCAGCCATTGTAGTTTGTTTTACGCTTGGCGCACACTAGCCTACACCAAAAATAATGCAGCATTTTGGATGTGAGGGCCATTGTTCGCTACGCCAGGGAATGGTGCGATGTGTGTTTTCAGTGCATCGCATGGCTTTTTAAAAAATCTTTATTTGTCCTGCTGTCGGCACAAATGTGACACTTCATACCATACCGCTAGTGTTCAGCGACATGAATGAACAGGCTACAAACAAAACAATTGTTTTCTATGTGACCTAGTGGTGACTGGTGATTATACAGTGCAAACAAAATGCAGGTCACTGCAGATAATGTTTACAAGCTGTTAAAGTGGTTGTAAACCTAAGACAAGAAATATGAACAAAGCATATCATTCTATAGTGTATATTTATCCCATTCCAGAGTGTCATTTCGGTCTGCTGCTTCTTTCCTCTGATATTAACATTAATCAATTTTGAGTTTTCCCTGACACCAAGAGAAAAAATGGTGACAGGGGAATGACCTCCTACAGATTGACAGCATCAGCCCTGTTCCTGTGTGAAGGGGGGAGTGTCTCTTCCCTCCAATCAGCTCTCGGAGCTCTCCGCAGTGAGCTCTGCAAAGTGTAATTTTAGCTCTCCACCCCCTTTTTTCTGAACGCTCAAACTTGATAAATTTGGCACTTTGAACAGATGTAGAGAAGAGAAGGCTACAGATAAACAGGTACAACATATGTAGGAGGATTGGTTTCACCTCCCCTGTGTATCCCAAGGCCAGACACTTATCTGCAGTAAAAAGAGGAAAAAACCAGGGGAAAAAGATATCCACTGGCATAGAGGTCCTAATGAGAATAACTGTTCTCATTAGGACCTCTATACCAGTGGATTTCTTTTTCCCCTGGTTTTTTCCTTTTTTTTTTTACTGCATGTTACATGGTTCTGAGGACACCACCACTGGATTTGGTGAGTCGGCAATATCGTCATTATTATGTAATATTTGAAATTTCCCTTTTTTGGAGTCTATTACGTTATATTTATCCTTGTGAGGCATCCCAATTTTCTTGTATGCCATTTTCCTATACAGTCACTTCACTGCATATATGGAAGGGTTTACAACTACTTTAAGAAAATATGTCACGTTGACTAGAGTTAAATGGAAAAAAAAAAAAAAAAAAAAAAGGGGGATCATCATCAATCTAAAATGAATTAATTTTTTTTCTGCAGGAGCCTGGAAAGCATTGCACCCTCACAGTACAGAAAGATAAGTAATCTGCTACAGTGGCATACAGGACTGGTAGTTCTCCCATTCAGATTCCTATAAATGAATGGTGCAGCTGTGTGGACGGAGCCTCACAGAGTTTTCAAAGTGGGACAGCGTGAGGGAATTGATGGGGTGAGGATGGCATGCTCCAGCCAGGTGATCCCATAGCTCTGGCTCCCTTATGACAGTGAGCAGCTGCTGCAGGGGATAGGAGGGAGCACTGACAATGGCTGGGCTATGGGAGCCTTTGGTGATGTTAACGCTCCTGGAATTTACAGCCTTAGTCAAGCGCTCCATGACACAGGGAAGCCGGAGATGTGGGAATCACACGACTGGACTGGCACGGGCTACATAGGGTAGACAACATAAGTAGCAGGCACATGCAAAAGGAACATATTTAAAGGATTTGTAATATGTTACAGCCATAATTAGGGTTTAACATGTTACTGATGCAGCACGGGCCCCCCCCCTGAGTTCCTGTTGTAAGAGCGGGCCAGGGATCTTCTCCTCATAGCAGCGGTCATAAATTAAAAAAAAAAAAAAACACAGATGTGTGGGACTTTGCCCACCTGGCTGCATCATTCATTCACATTTCTGTGAATGGGAGAACAACTACTCTCAGCCATTGGGGCTGACAGCTTGTAGTAATCAATAAACTGATATGTGCTCTAGGTAGTTCTTTTATCCTTCTTGTCATTCAGTAACTGCTTACACATATGAGCAGACTGATACACTGACAGTCTGCAGGTGCCTGAGATTACACCCAGTGGTGCAATACTTTACAGGCGCCTAGTAAAATAAATAAATAATTTTTTTTTACCCTACAAAAAGATGTGCATTTATTATTGTTATGGTTAGGCAGGAGTTCCATTTTAACTTTACAGGTGTCTTCAGAACAGGAATGGAGTAGAAATGTTCCTATGGGGACAACAGTATAACAGGAGACCTTTCTTCACTTTGTAGAGATTTACTTTCACTTCCTGTTCCGTCTCCATGGCAGGAAGTGAAGAAAATTTTTTTCGAGAGGGCACAAATAGCAAAAAATAAACCAACAGGAGTCCTAACCCTTCCCCATTTCACTGTTCAGTTCCAATGCTTAGAGGAATTCTGTAACAGTGAAGCCCCCAGGGTTGGATCCTGCCACTAGTTTCTGATTAACCATTTGCTGTCCGCAATACACATATAAACATTGCGGTTTGCAAGAGATTTACTGGGATTATGGTGGAAGATATCCGCCATAACCCCAGTATCTTTTTATTCTGCCAGCAGCCAGATTTCTAATATAAGCGGTCCGAGGATCTCATCAGCCACTGGATCTCTTTCAGTAGCAGCAGGAGGGGACATCCCCCCTCCTCCTGCCGCTTGCTGGTGTTTCTCAGCCTTACTGTTAAGGCTGGTGGACACAAAAAACGATCCGACGGTGCGGCCGGCTGGTCACAGAGGTGATGAGAGACTGTGTGGCATTGTTTTTAAAATTCGATAAAGTTTTTTTTTTTTCTTTTATAATTGCATTTGAAAAACTGCCATGCAAGTGCCATAAAAAAAAAGGCGATTTAATTCTATATGGTCTTTACTAACAAAGAAAATAAAAATATAATTATATATAATGTTTGGGGGTTATAAGTAATTTTCTAGCAAAAAAATACGGGATTTAAACTTGTACACAAAACATGCCAGAAAAAGGCTTGGACTTCAAGTGCAGTGCTGTTCTGTACTAGCAACAAAATAAACAGAAAAGGCGTCACACACTGAGCTCCGAGCCATACTAGTACACTAGTTATGAATGGAACCGCCAGCCCCATCGATACTATCGCTAGCTGTGTGCACTACTCCTATACGAATGCTCACCTGTTCACTTCACGACAAATATGGCGACGCCTACAGGCCACATGTGCCGCTCCGCAACGTCAGTACGCATCGTTCCGCCCTCTCCCCATAGGAGCTCTCCGTCCTGTCTGAAGACTTTCTCTTTTTGCTCCCTGAGTCTTATTGGCTCAAACTTCCTAGCCTGTTAAATGATTGGTTGTAATGTAAGCTTCTACCTCATGATTGGCTGAGCTTGTTCTTGCACTCCCTACGGGAGTGACGAACGTCTGGCGGGAGAAGAGAGCGGAGTCGGTAAGGCTGGTATGGAGGGGGAGGGACATTGCGGTGTTTTATGATGCTTGGAGGTTGTAAATTCTCCTTGTGCTTTCTATATACTGGAAGAAGTGTGTAAAAATGAACATCAGCTGTGAGGCTGTCTTGTTATGAGTGCGGTAATAGGACATGTCCTCACCTACTGGGATGTATTTCCAGGGACTGGCCCTGACAGGACACTTTCTCAGATACATTCTCATTGCTGGCAATGTAAATCTGAACTCTGGGTGGGGCTCTCCTAGGGTTGCCACCTCATCCCTTTAAACCCGAACATATATTAACTGCACAAGTTCTGAGGCTCATTTAACCCCTCGCCTATCGGGCACTTATTCCCCCTTCCTTTCCTGACCAATTTTCAGCTTTCAGCGCTGTCGCACTTTTTTTTCTTTTGCACCATAAACAAAAAAAGAGCAAAATATTTAAAAAAAAAAAAAAAGGTTTTCTTTTGTTTCTGTTATGAAATTTTGCAAGCAGGAAATTTATCACCTTCACTGATGTGCGTTGATGAGGCGGCACTGACGAGCACTGGTGGGTGAAACTGTAGGGCACTGATCATCAGTGCCGATGTGCTCTGTGACAGCTGCCGGTTATAACAGCATGAGGAAAGTGCTGCCAATAACTGGCAACTGTATTTACTCCGTGATCTGCTGTGTCATTGGACACAGCTGATCATGTGGTAAAAGGCCGCTGTGACTGGCCTTTTACCTCATCACGTGATCAGCTGCGTCCATAGGAAGCAGATATCACCGGGTGTGCGCTGTTGGGCGCGTGTAGGAGGGAACGTTCTCGGAGGACATCATATGATGCCGTCCCAGAACTGGATAACCGCACTGTAGCCGTCATTTGGCTATAGCGCTGCAGATAAGGCACTAAGTGAGTTTTTAATGACCACCATAATCAGCCACAGAACCTGTATAATTAATATGTGTTCAGGTATAAAGGGACGAGGTGGCAACCCTAGGCTCTCCCTGCACTACAAGGGTTAACTGTTAGTCATATCCATTTTATTCATCCTTGCCCCTGCAGTCTAGGTTCACACTTGTGCATGTGGTGCGCAAATTTGCCTGATGAAACCACCCACACAGTGAAACGCAATACCCGCAGGCAGATGGAATTAGTCCTAATGGCCCACCACTTGCACTGAAAATCGCACACCCACACTGGGAAACTTGGTTCCCTTGGGGGCTGCAATTTCCAAAGTACAGGGACTTTTTTTCTGTTTCACAGGGCACAGCAGCCCATTCAAATAATGGGCTGTCATGACCACATAGATGTAAACCTAGCTGCTTGACTGCTCCACCTGTCCTGGGCATACTGACGACATCATGTACAATGCAGGACCAGCTGTCCCACATTGTCTGTCAGGGCACGGAGGGCCCGACCACCTCTTTGGAGTGCTGGGGGAGTAAGGATAAAGTAAGTACCACTGCTGTTTGTGTTCCCCAAGACTAAAACAAGAATTTAGCCCTTGCAGTGCTGGAGAGCCCTACTACAAGGGTAACGTTTGATTTTATGCGGTGTGCAGCTTTAAAGTGTTTAGAAAGCCACACTTTTTTTAATTTTGAATAGAGTGGGCAAAGATTAGAACCCCTGTCAGGTTTATTCTGCTACCGAGGGCCAAATGCATGTGTTAAGATGCACATTGTGGCATGCATCAACCCATGATGTGCGTAATGACGTGCTGACATTCAGCAGAGAATGCATTGGGATGCATGTTGATGCACACTTGCATCCATTTCTTTTCATAGAAGATGAATCGTGGAGTAAACCTCATGGAGGGTAAATCTAGCCCTAGAGAGAATTTCCCTAACTGACCTCCCTGGTTTACCAGACAGATAGTGAGGGGGAAAAACAGGGACACCGTAATAAAAATTTTACATGTGTTCTAAACCCGCCCTTCCCAGCCAAGATGCCGTTCAGCCAAATTTAAATCCATATACAGTCAGGTCCATAAATATTGGGACATCAACACAATTCTAACATTTTTGGCTCTATACACCACCACAATGGATTTGAAATGAAACAAACAAGGTGTGCTTTAACTGCAGACTGTCAGCTTTAATTTGAGGGTATTTACATCCAAATCAGGTGAATGGTGTAGGAATTACAACAGTTTGCATATGTGCCTCCCACTTGTTAAGGGACCAAAAGTAATGGGACAGAATAATAATCATAAATCAAACTTTCACTTTTTAATACTTGGTTGCAAATCCTTTGCAGTCAATTACAGCCTGAAGTCTGGAACGCATAGACATCACCAGACGCTGGGTTTCATCCCTGGTGATGCTCTGCCAGGCCTCTACTGCAACTGTCTTCAGTTCCTGCTTGTTCTTGGGGCATTTTCCCTTCAGTTTTGTCTTCAGCAAGTGAAATGCATACTCAATCGGATTCAGGTCAGGTGATTGACTTGGCCATTGCAGAACATTCCACTTCTTTCCCTTAAAAAACTCTTTGGTTGCTTTTGCAGTCTGCTTTGGGTCATTGCCCATCTGCACTGTGAAGCGGCGTCCAATGAGTTCTGAAGCATTTGGCTGAATATGAGCAGATAATATTGCCCGAAACACTTCAGAATTCATCCTGCTGCTTTTGTCAGCAGTCACATCATCAATAAATACAAGAGAACCAGTTCCATTGGCAGCCATACATGCCCATGCCATGACACTACCACCACCATGCTTCACTGATGAGGTGGTATGCTTAGGATCATGAGCAGTTCCTTTCCTTCTCCATACTCTTCTCTTCCCATCACTCTGGTACAAGTTGATCTTGGTCTCATCTGTCCATAGGATGTTGTTCCAGAACTGGGAAGGCTTTTTTAGATGTCGTTTGACAAACTCTAATCTGGTCTTCCTGTTTTTGAGGCTCACCAATGGTTTCCATCTTGTGGTGAACCCTCTGTATTCACTCTGGTGAAGTCTTCTCTTGATTGTTGACTTTGACACACATACACCTACCTCCTGGAGAGTGTTCTTGATCTGGCCAACTGTTGCGAAGGGTGTTTTCTTCATCAGGGAAAGAATTCTTTGGTCATCCACCACAGTTGTTTTCCGTGGTCTTCCGGGTCTTTTGGTGTTGCTGAGCTTACAGGTGCGTTCCTTCTTTTTAAGAATGTTCCAAACAGTTGTTTTGGCCACGCCTAATGTTTTTGCTATCTCTCTGATGAGTTTGTTTTGTTTTTCAGCCTAATGTTGGCTTGCTTCACTGATAGTGACAGCTCTTTGGATCTCATCTTGAGAGTTGACAGCAACAGATTCCAAATGCAAATAGCACACTTGAAATTAACTCTCTGGACCTTTTATCTGCTCATTGTAATTGGGATAATGAGGGAATAACACACACCTGGCCATGGAACAGCTGAGAAGCCAATTGTCCCATTACTTTTGGCCCCTAACAAGTGGGAGGCACATATGCAAACTGTTGTAATTCCTACACCGTTCACCTGATTTGGATGTAAATACCCTCAAATTAAAGCTGGCAGTCTGCAGTTAAAGCACATCTTGTTCGTTTCATTTCAAATCCATTGTGGTGGTGTACAGAGCCAAAAATGTTAGAATTGTGTCCATGTCCCAATATTTATGGACCTGACTGTATGGATGCCTTAAGGCTATAAAGCGGAACCAAATTCTCCTATCCTTTCATCAAAGGAAGCTGCCATCCTAGCCTCTGTTTGACCTGCAACTGTCATGAGCACAAGGAAATGTGACAGTTATCATTCCCAGCATGCTGGGAATGTAACCATTTATTTTTGTAACTGTTAACTTGATGGGTTTAGTTCCATTTAAGGCTCATTCACACCATGGTGCAGAGATGTCAGTTTTTCTGCATGTGTTTTGCAAGGACACAACAAAATCAATTGTTGTCTATGAGCCCTGTTCACACCACAACGCTAGTATCATGTGCATATATTTTTCTGTGCAGAAATCTGCATTGTGTATAAAACTCATTGAAGCGCACATAAAACCTGATGTCTCTGTAAGTGAAATCTGCGTTTCAGTTTCCAGCAGTTTTTCTGCACGTATGGTGTGAACAAGCCTTAAAGTAAAAATAAACCCATCAAATACCAAAATAGTTACATTCAGAGCATGCCATGAATAATAACTGTCACTGTCAAAACTGAAATTAACATATTCATTTCCACATTATATTTCAGTTATTTCTAAAGCTGGGTACACGCTATAGAAGATCAAAAGAAAAATTCCAGGCGAGGAGTGGTCGGTTGATTATTTGTCCATTAGTATAGTGTGTTTGACAACCGAATCTGACAGTTCAGAGAAAAAAAAAACAAAGGTGCAGGCTAGAACATTTTTATCATACGTAAACACAACATCCAATTTTCACTCAATGTGTACAGTAATTGTCTGGAAATAATAGAATAGAAATGGTATAGAATAAACAGAAAAAAAATCAGAAGCGAAGAACATAGAAATTGTACACTAGGAAGCACATTTGCCTCTAAGAATTTCCGTGCAAGTTAATACCACTGTCGGTTACATCATAGTACGCCCCAGCACTGGTCCAATTTTCTCATAGTGTGTACCTCACTTAATCTACTCCTATGAATCTGAACAATCTTAAAGTAAAATTACTATATGAAGAGCCCCACACATTTTCTTCTTGAGATTGTGACATATGCACTATGCCCTGTGAGTAGTCTCTGCTGTGTCACACGTTTCAGAGCCTGCCTTCAGAACTACAGAGGTGCGGAGAGTAGGAGTTTCAGCCAGCGTAGTCAGTACAGGAAATACTGCTTTCAAGCAGCAAGGTACCATGGGATGAGTATTCCTTAGAAATTAAAAGTAAACGTGAGAGGAGAATCTGCAAAGCATGCAGAGAATACTGGAAGTACAATGCTGATGGTAAAATGTGTATGATGTGACCATAGATCTCCTTTAAGTTACTGTAATGAAAATGTTTTTTAATTTCTTTTACAGATTGGAAGACATGAACCATGATACTGTTCAAGGGAACAAAAACCTGCAGGTTCAGTTTGTACCTGATGAAGATGTTTTGGAGCATATTATTGATAAACAAGAAGGTGTGTCATTTTAATTACTTGCTTGAATGACAGTCATGGTAAAACCACTGGGGCATACAGCATTTGATGTCTGTAGACCCCTGTCAATGACATACCATTTCATTTTAGTATAATGTTTTTTGACATTTACAAAGAGTCTCTCCTTTAAGCTATTTTGAGTTTCTATGTTTTTTTAAGCTATTGGTGCTCATTTACACTAGCATTACCCTCTAAAGAGTGATCAGTGCTGGATCACTTTTCAGAGGAAATTTGACAGTAGCTGAGGAGGCATTGTGTCTTTTCAGAGGATGTTTAATATTCACTACCTACTTTGACCCTTGGAAGCCCAAACTTCTTGCCGCAAATGCATGCATTGCGTGTGGTTGCAGCACGGCCATGTCCCATTCAATTGACCGGTACTGCTTGTCGAATGCGATGGAGGGGAAACTTTTGCCGTGCTGTTCTGTGATGCAAAGCATTGCAGCTGTGACCTGTATACCCCCCCCCCCCCCACCCTGGCAGCTTATTCAGCATGTTGGGGGGAGAGTAAGTTCAACCACCTGTTTTTACCGCCACCCAACCAGAAGTGAAAACTAACCTTGCTCACACTGAACTAGATCTTCTCTTTATTAGTTTACATTTCTTCAGCCTAGTGGCAGGCAGGTAATTTCAGACATGTATGCCTTGGGATTATGAGCAAAAACCTACTTAACTCTCTTTCATGGGATTGTGGAGATCTGACTGCCAGCAAAGAACTACATTTTTATTGTCCTCATTACTGTCCTGTGAACTCTCACTGAACAGTATTTTAATTGGAGAACTCTTTAGCTATAGACACCTCTACTAGGATGGAGTCCAAAAAAAAAAGACCAGGTTGGTTTGCAAATTTACACATGCCAATCATAGAGTTTCTGCTGATCATTTTTTTTTATTTTTTCAAATTTTTATTGAAAAGTTTTTGAAGTTTTTTGAAAAAAAAAAAAAAAAAGCTCACATGTATTTCCAGGTACATAGAGACTTCCAACAGCAACATTTCATTTTCACACTTCGTAGGGTATCCAATACGAAGCCTTGTTGATAACTTTAGTTAACAACATATATATTACAGCATGGTAGCTTTGGCAGTTTTGTATTGTTTGAATAAATGAGAAGACTTCCAAATCTTGTATAAAACTCAATCATATTTTGCCATACTAATATCATTGATTGAACACAAATCTAATCTTTCCTAGTTGTTAGCGGAAAGATTTATGGTTCTTGTGCATGGTCAAATAGTTGCAAGCAATTCAATAAATTCAAATTGTGCATACAGGCAAATGATAGTACATAAGAACAAAGTACAAAGTGCAAATGATAGTACATTGTACCATGTCAAACACAGTACCAAGTAGTGTCCACCATAAGGTCACTGTGAATGCTGATAAGCAGCATGGGTGATAATATCTAAGCCAGTCCATTGCATTTTCTACCAATGAAATCTTTTGAGTGAAGTCTGGGTTGGGCATTTGATCATGCTTTTTATTATGTTCCACATGTGAGTAGATTTTATCTAGGCACATCCGGGACTCAGTTTGTATTCTGTGTCCACATGCAGTGAATTCCCACCAGAAGATTGAGAGTCAGGACCAGAGTGGGAGCTTGAGAGTGGATAGAGTGATGGTAATGAAACTGAACCCTCAGTGAGATAGGTGCACCTTGATGTCCATAGGCTATGGGTTATGTTTGGAGTATATCATATATACTGTGTGCACAATTATTAGAAAAGTTGTATTTTTGAGGATTATATTTCATTATTGAACGACTACAGTGCTTTTGGTCAATCCAAAATGTTAATAAACCTCAAACCTGAATATTTAAGTAAAAGTGAGGTTTTGGCTTTCTTAGAAGAATATCTATGTGTGCACAATTATTGGGCAACTATTAGTATGCAGAATTATTATGCAACTAAATGAAAAACTTTCCATCTCACTTGTTTATTTTCATTTGTTAAAGTGAAAATAGTAAGCAAACAACTCAAAATATACAAATAAACATTTCGGATATTTCAATAAAAGATCAGTGGCCAGTATAGCCACTCTTCTTTTCAATAACAGTCATAAGCCTTCCATTCATGGAGTCTGTCGGTTTCTTGATCTGTTGACTATCAACTTTTTGTGCAGCAGCAACCACAGCCTCCCAGGCACTGTTCAGAGAGATGTACTGTTTTCCTTCAATGTAAATTTCCTATTTAAGAAGGGCCCCCAAGTTCTCAATAGGGTTTAGGTCAGGTGAGGAAGGGGGCATGTCATTATTCTTTCATATTTAAGACATTTACTGGCTAACCACACAGTGGAATATTTTGATGCACGCCATGGAGCATTGTCCTGCATAAATATCATGGTCTTCTTGAGAGATGCAGACTTTCTCCTGTACCATTGCTTGAAGAAAGTGTCTTCTAAAAACTGGCAGTAGGTTTGAGGGTTGATTTTTAAGTCCATTTTCAACCCAAAAAATCCAACTAGCTCATCGTTAATAATACCAGTCCATGCCAGTACCCCATCCACCTTGCTGGCGTCTGAGTAGAAGTTGAGCTCTGTGCTCGTTACTGATCCAACCACGGGCCCATCCATCTGGTTCATTTAAAAGTCACTCTCATCTCATCAGTCAATTAAACCTTTGAAAAATCTGTCTTCAGATCATTTCTGGGCCCAGTCTTGATGTTTCAACTTGTGTGTCTTGTTCAGTGGTGGCCGGATTTCAGCTTTCCTTACCTTGGCCATGTCTCTGAGCACTGAACACCTTGTACTTCTGGGCTCTCCAGGTGGGTTGCAGTTCTGGAATATGACCGCACTGGAGGATAATGGGTTCCTGGTAGCTTCAGGTTTGATTCTTCTCAAATCTTTGGCAGTTAATTTGCGTCTTTTTTTTTTTTTTTCTCAACACGATTCGTACGACCTTGTTGACTATTTGCAACAAAAGGTTTGGTTCTGTGATCATGCCCCATTATCTTAGCAATTTCAAGAGTGCTGCATCCCTATGAAAGATTTTTTCCAATTTTTTTTTCAGAGTCAGTTAAATCTCTTTTTTTTGGCCCATTTCCCTGAGGGGAAAAAAGCTGCCTCATGATTATGCACAACTTGATATAGGGTGTTAATCTCCTTAGGCCCACCCTCCCTCATTACATGAATATACATCACCTGATATGCTTAAATCCAATAAGCATTCATAGAGCTTGGAGCTGGAAAATATGCATAACAATGATGATCTGGTCAAAATACTTACCCAGTAATTGTTATACAGACTCATCGTACTGTTTGACACTACACTGAGTCCTTAGTGCCAGCATATACCTTCGCAGAATAATATTTGCCTGTATGCAGATTTTGGAGTGCAATCTATCTTTTATATACTGTATCTTATTACAACTGAGAGTTTTTCTGTACACTGCACATCTTCAGCTTTTTCACACTTCATTTCATTTATTAAATAGTTCAACAACTTGAGCTTCAATTGCAATAATGTGATCATATCTATGGACCTGTCAGATAATGGTGGTGGTACCTGGGGGTGGTTGGATCATGCATGTATGCTTCATTATCAATGTCACGGATTTTCCTGTTCAGAAACTGAAACTAGATTTTATTCATACATATACTACAAGATCATTGAGCAACAATCAAAATTTCATATAAAGCAAATGATAAGTAGCTGTTAAAATGTAGATTGCCAAAGGTTACTGCACTTTAATTCTTATTGTTGTTTGCACAGACTTGTAAAATAACATGTAAAGTCAGGGATGTTCAATGCATATCACCTGACGCCTGGGACATGTGGTTCCAGGCGCCAATCAGGTAGTATTTGTTTTTTGTCTTTTTTTTACCTTCTAGTCCTGCTGCTTGCTCACCTGTCAAGTGGAAGCATTTTGGTGGCAACGTTGCTGCCCGATTGCTTCCACACAGCCCACTATGGTTCCAGCTTTACCCAACCCCCCCGCCTGCTATGTGTCCTGGGCTCTGCTTTTGGACCCCGGATGTCTCAAATAAGTGAAAATAAAATTTCAAGGCCTCCGTCCCCACAAAACGTAAAAGCACATACTAGGGTGCCTACGCATGAAAACGACGATTGCGTACATGTATACATGTTACATATCACCGCACACGCCAGAATGAGAGCAATAATTCTAACACCAGACCTCCTCCGTAATGCTGAATTGATGAACTATAAGGGGCTTTAAAAGCGTCACCTATAGAAAGTACAGGGTTACTAAACTTTGTTGTCATTTCAGGAGCTCGTGCAAATTTAAGGTTTGACATGTTGGATATCTATTTACTCGATGCAACCTCGTCTCTTATATTTTACAAAAATATTGGATAATTTATTGCTTTTTGTGCCCTAAAATTAACTTAAGTGTATTTTTATTAAAATTTTGCATTTCCTAGACCTTTGTGATAATATCGTGTGACATAAAAAAATTGTAACTACCGCTATTTTATCCTCTATGGTCTCCGATTTCCGAAAATATATAATGTTTTGGAGTTTTGTGTAATCGTCAGGCCTTAAATAATTTTTTTAAACTTGTGCAAAAAAACACAAAAATGGCTCTGGCAGCAAAAAAGATAAAGGAAAAGCTTGACACTCCCCTTTCCTGACAAGCACCCAATCGGTGCTCATTGCACTGCAAGGTCTCTCCCTTCCCTGCTAGTCCCGGGGGTTGGGCTGGAGACAGATAGGGAGGGGAGGAGGAGATAAACTGCGTAAGGTTAAAAATACTAAATGTTTAAGTCGCCAGAAAGCCCCTTTTGTTTTTAACCCCCAGGCAGTAAAGCAGATTTAAATATGGTTTTGGTTACATTTTTTTTTTTCTTTAATAGGACAAGTAGTTTGTCATGAGGGACAAGTAGATTAGGACACTGATTTTAGTCCCTGAACAAGTAGTTTTTTTTAAAAACTTCCACACCCCTGTAAAGTGTAAATTAATCCTGATAAAGTAGACATTGGTGAACATGTTCAAAGTCCATTTTAAATATAAGTGCACTTATCCTTTCTCCAACATAAACATGAAGTACCCTACCTTCTCCGGGTGTATGTTTGCCTCCGTGCCGTAGCCTGTCACAATATTTACACTGTTCAGGAAAAGTTTCTACACTGACCTCAGCAAATAGGCCTATAGAATGTGGCCATCACATGCAAGAGTTCTCTGATAGGAAGAAAACGTTGCAAGGGTGGGGGACGAACAGAATAAGTTCACTTCGAAAGTGCACATATACATTAAAACATAGCAAAAACAGTATTTTATAAAACCTTTTATGTTCACACTGCATGTTTTGGGAGTTGTGTTTATCCACTTATCACTGCAAAAGTCAGATATGTTGGCTCTGATGGTATTCTAAATTATTCTGTTTCTTAAAGGTTTTGTGAACTGTCTTTACTATGCAAAAAAATCAGTGTTACTACTATTTGTAATTTTAGGAACAAGGCTAAGGAGCAGCACAATAGCTCAGAAAATTGCAAATACTAAAAGCTTGATTAAGAAAGAACTGTATGCTGAGAGTGAGGCTGTGGATAACTGGAAGGAAAAGGACTATGTGGATGTGTTAGGAGTAAATACTGAAGGTAGGTCCATTAAACAATGGATAAACACATCTGCTTATTGTTCTCTATTCCTACCAGCTTTATAATGTCTTATGTTTTATTTCCTAATACAGATAATTTAGAAAATGGCCCTGGAACAGGAGGAGGCGATGTCTACTCATTCCATACTATGAGACGCTCAAACAAAATGGCCCAGCTCGGTAAACTATTTGCAGTATTTTTCTCAGCAGTTAGAGGAAACATCTCTAGAATGTTTTCAGTAAGTGGAACAGCAGTGATCCCACAGTGTCATGTTGCTTGGTTAACGTAAGTGTCAGTCTGTTCAAACTGATATTTTAATTTCAGGTTGAAGTTTGACTTCGTATTGGTTAATCCAGCAGCAGGACTACGCTGGCCTAATTTCTGACTTTGTTTCTATCCGCCTGGAAATTTCTGTGGTTCTCACCCACCCCTTTCTTTCCAGGTCTACCTTTTGCATTGTCCATTATATAAGAAATAAAAAAGATTTAGCAGTGAGAATGGGACCAATTGATAGTGGCCACACGGGTGTGCAGACCCAGGAACCCAAGATGCCAAAAACAAAATCGCAGATATATAAAATAAATTGTCCGGATGGGTTAGAAAGGCTGAAGGTTCTTTACCTTCATGCATTCTATGCATGAGGCTCCCCCCTGCCTGATCACCATCCAGTGATGTGCACGAGTAGGTTACACTGGGTGTTTTATGTATAAGTGAAAATACCTTTCCTTAGAAACCTGAAGCCAGCTCTGATTCCCTTAAACTGTGTGAAAATTTAGAGACACTTCCTGGGTTTACTAAAGAAGTTGAGAACAGTCACACAATATTGAATATTTGCTTCAATTAGCCAATACGTTTAAAGCAAATTCCTATTCATTTTTTTCCTCAGAATGGTTGAATGACTTGTATACGGTTTCTTGTAACTTTTCTGTTTTATTTATTTTTAAGCCTCTGAGATGGCCAGGACTCCTGGTAAAAGCGTCACATTTTCTACAAAAGATAGTCCTGAGGAAGCTGTCAGCCCACCTCCAAACAACAAAAGTATGTTTTGTGATAGGAAATGTAAGAATACTAGGTTACCAGATATGCTACAAATCTGTTAAGCAACAAATGCAAATAAATATAATTATTATTAATAATAATATTTTATATTTTTTTTTTTTAACAGAGCAATCCACAATTAAAACAACTTCTAAGGTAAGTGAAAGTTTTTTGCTTATAATTGCTTTTATTGCACTGTACTTTTAAATGACTGAGGTGGAAAAATGCTTTAATTCTAGCCATATTTTGAGCACAGCCCACTCTGCATTAGACTTCTGAGGGTGGGATATAATGTTAGTAAAGTATTGCAGACCGAGAGTGAAAGGATTATCTTCTTTACAGCTGTTAAAGGAGACTTCTCATTTAAGTGCTAAAGGAATCCTAAGTGTAAGGTCTAATGAACATGGGCACCTGGGACTGTATGATGTAAAATGTGGGCTTATTTCCCCACCCAGGAGCCACAGCTACCCATAGAAATAAATTACTGCATGTAGCAGTACATGGGCATATATTGGTATTTTTTTCTAAGCAGTGTACAGATATATGCACCTGGATGCAAACAGTCTGTGTCCAGAGGCATATGTCCATATGTGCACACGTTTATGCAAGTACCAGTGTATAGCCTCATACAGCCACATTCTCTGATTTCTATGTGCAGCTCTTGCTCCACGGCAAGAAATATACGAGAATTGTATGTTCTACAGCCCCAAGTGCACATGCATAGTTATGATCTAAGATCACTGTTCCACAAGACCATTCTTTCATCTTCATTTCTCCTTAGAAGGTTAGTGCCATATTTGATCAGACATCATCCAGGGCCAGCTTCTACATTTGAGACTAAGATGCTGACCCAGAGATGACAGAGTTATATTCCAAGATCTTTGCTGTAACTTTTATGTTTTTGGTACTTGAACCTGTCTCGCATAGCTCATCTTTATTGTTGCTGACTCCTCAATCTGTGATCAGTGAAAAACCAAAGTGTTACACAGGTTAGCTCCCTTTGTGTGGGCAAAGCAAAATTCTCGAGTGATACATTTTATATATATATATATATATATATATATATATATATATATATATATATATATACAGTCTACTGTTGCTGTACATTGCGACATGTCAAGAACATATTATTGTATGATTTTAATGTTATTAATAGGCTCGCTTTAAATAATCTGTAATGGCTGTGGGAATCGGCAACAAAGGTCAGACAGACTCGTAGCACAGGCATGAACACAAAGGAATTCTACAGTTGTGACTGTAGCACAACTGTTGGGTTTGTCGGATGAACATTAATAGTTTATTGATTTGTTTATTTGTGTCTAGGTTAGCTGTTTAAGATATATGTTTATTCGTTTTTCAATTAGGGAAGCAAAAATGAATTTATCTCCACAACACCGCATAGGCTGAGGAAAAGACTGTCAGGTACAGTGTGTGTTCTGTATACCTTGTTGCGTGTGTGTGTTTTTATGGTTAATTTACACGGGTGCTTAGAATCAGCATCAAGAGCCCTTTTTGTTTTCTTTTCTCTCTTAGCCCTGATCTGCTTGCAGGTAGCCCAAATTGGTGAATAAACAAGCATCAGCTGCAAGGACCCTGACACAGAGCATGTGTCCCCTGTGTACCTGCCAAACTTGGCTGTATGGGTAAATCTGGACAGCTAATGTCTATATGCTGAGATGGGCTACCTGCATTAAATTGTGAGCTAGGACAGACAAACAAAGGGCTCTTCATGCTGTACAGGGCTGAGTTCTGATGTGAATGAGCCCTTAACAGTATTCCAACAGTTTGTTGCATAAACAAATTTAAGTGAAAGGAATAAAAGTTTGGCTATTCCCACCTTGTAATTTTGTGCTTACAGCTTAAAGCAGAAGTAGAAAGTTGGATTCTATGTGGGCTGTTTGCCTAAGCAAGTTTTATGACCCAATTGTATTTGACTTTCCACACCTTCCTGTTATGCTCCTATATTTGCATAAGTGGCTGAAATCATCACTGCACAAAACAATGTGGCCCCTCCCAGCCCTGCCCTGTATTCTCCCTTCTCCTTTGCTGAGACCTGAATTTATTTTTAAATAAGTAACAAATGGATTAAATGATAAGCTCACCTTTAAAAAAAAAAAATAGTAATGAATGCACTTCTTTTTTGCAGGTTAAAAAAAAATGTGCATTTATTATTTTTATTAGGAGCCTGTAAAGCATTGCACCCACAATCAGCAGATCGCAGGTGCATGCTCCTGCAGACTGTCAGTGTAAGCTCTCTGCTTGTACGGGCAGGCAGTTACATAATGACAGGAACCATCAATAAAACTACCTAGAGCACTCACCAGTGCTCTGGTAGTTATTGAAAACTAGGAGGCATCAGCTGCAAACGCTGATGGCAGTTGTAGATTTCCCGTTTAACAGAACTCTGTGAATAAATGAAGCAGTCAGGTGGGCAAACCACCGCACGTGTGTGTGTGCCAAGTGTGTGTGTGTGTGTGTGTTTTTTTTTTGTTGTTTTTTTTGTGTGTGTGTGTGTGTGTGTGTGTGTAAGGGTAAATTCACCTTTCATAACATGTAACTTGTTATGAAATGTCCTGATCCCCCGTTTTGACAGCTAGTGGGGGACCTTCTTCTTCTCCCTTCTAGTTGTCAAGATTTAAAAAAAAAAAAAAAAAAAAAAAACATGGCCTTGCGGGACTTTGCCCATCTAGCCGCATCACTCATTCACAGAGTTTTGTGAATGAGAAATGACAAATCCTGACAGCCTTAGCGGCTGTCAGCTTGTAGTTCATTGATTCTTCTCGTCAGTATCTGCTTGCCCATGCAAGGTACAAGCAAGCAGATACACTGACTGGTCTGTAGGAGACCTGCATTGCATCAGCAATCAAGTTCACCGCAGAACCCCCCCCCCCATTTTTACAGTGAGCAGGGAATCTTCTTTTTTTTTTTTTTTTTGCTATTGATTCCATATTCATCAGTGTTTGTGTTACTGGACTGACCGGAAGCCCCATGTAAGTCTATGGGCATCCAGATGTAAACAGACTTCTGTACCTCTAAATCCCTTCAGGTCTAGAAATGGTCTGTGTCCATTTCTGACAGATCAGTGGTAGTCTAATGTAAGTGGATGCAAGATCTATTCTGGGTCCAGAAAGCTCCAGCTATACACCAAACAGACAGGGATATAAGAAAAGTGATATCCATTCTGTTTTGGTTCAGCAGAGGATCTCTTCACATTTTCCCTGCTCAATGAACTGGATGGCACCTGTGTAAAGGGGGCCTAATGCTAAATAACAAACTAGGTATGATAGCACATGGATAATATGAAATATGGATAATGCAAACACAGATTTGCAAGTTCTGAATGCAATCTCCAAATTCTAACCTGCAAGTTCAGAGTGTTTGCCATTTAAACAAAAAACAAACAACAAAACTTTACTTTTTAGTTTTAATGAATTATGTGGCTAATTTTATTATCAAAGTAACTTTGATGATCTTAAAAAAAAAAAAAAAAAAATCCAAACTTAAGGTGACCCTGTCATTACAGAGCCAATAATAAGGACAGCCTGTAAAATAAAATGCTATATGCTTGCCTCTTCAGCAGCCTGTATGTTAAAACGCCACCGTGTTTTATGGCAGCTGCAAGTATCCAACAGTTCCATGTGTGTATACCTGCTCCTCCCTGCCGTATGCTGTTGCGCTTCCTGATGGCTCATATGTCTTGTAGGGACATGGTCTTTTCAAAGAATTAGAAATGCACTGGAAGATATATATTTCCATGTATGTACTTCCTGAAGGCTGTTGTGCACATGAAATGCAGGTAGCAGTACAGCTCTTCTGGTTCTGCAGGAACGCTCATGGTCTTGGCATGGGACTGCTTGACCAAAAGGCCTGCATTTTATCTCATAATTTTGCCTTCTGTACAATTCGTAATAAACTGAATTGGATTGGTTTCCTGGTTCCTTGTTTTTTAAAGGTAAACTATAATGGCTTTGAATCAATTTTATTTCTTTATTTTTAAGCTCTAAATAATTCCTGTTTTGCTTTGCAAATAAACCAAATCTCTTATAATAAACTTTAATGCAGCATTATATGTTTTTTAAAGAGAGCACAGCAAAGGTTCTCTGATTTTAGGCTTCACCTCTAGTTGAAGTTTTGTATGCAGCTATTTGCACAGAGAGCAATCCGGGAGTATCATTACTGTGAATACCACCATTGTGTGCACTGTAATTTAATGTGATGCTTAATCATTCTTATAAGTATAATAACCTGAACATCTAGATTTCAACCTTTATACTCCCAGTCTAAATAACACATGCATAGCCATCTTTAGCATTTTTCTTTCTTTTTTACAGCACCAGATTTACGGTCAGACAGTGAGAGTGATTATTCTGATTCTGATGAAGAGATTGAAGAAAAGCCAGCCACTGCTAAAACACCAAGTAAAGGATCACAAACGCCAAGCAAAGGATCTCAGACTACTGGGAAAACACCATCCAAAAAAGGAAAGACAAAAGTAAGTTGTTTTTGTGGTGTGTGGTGTTTTTTTTTTGTTTTTTTTATGGGTTTTTTTTGGGGGGGTTTTTTTGGAGCTGTGAACCTGCATTAAAAAAAAAAAAAAAAAAAAAACATTTTTTTTTCTATCTATCTTGCTTGGAGGGTTTTAGTGGTGAGTGACATGAATTATTGCTGTGTGACCTGTAAAAAGATCTTGCATTTCTTTCATTAACAGAGCAACCTGGTGGAAGAGTACTTTGAAGCTCACAGCAGTTCTAAGGTCCTCACGTCTGATAGGACATTGCAAAAGCTCCAGACTCCAAAGCTAGACCAGGTAAAAAGAAAATGTATTTTAGTAGTTAAGACATAGAGAACAGGGTCCATATAAAGTACAGGTAGATTTTACTATTGCACTATTAACAATCGCTTTTGCTTTGTGCAGAGACCTTAAATCCTAACTTTGGTTGAATCTGACCTTTTTTTTTAAAAATTTGCAGTTGAAACCAAACTATTGTTGCAATCTCTCCCAAACAATGCTTCTTCAATTCAGCTAGATTATAGTGCAGTCATACACATAAAGTGTAACTAGGGGTGAAACTTTTTTGGGGGGGGGGTGAAATGGAGAGGGTTTAGACCATGCCAGGTTTGTATTGCGGTGTCCTCATTAGAGAGATTCAACCACCTTATTTGTCCTGTTTACCATTCTTTTGGTTTGTCACTACAACAATATAGAGGGGAATCTTCTAACTGAGACACTAGTTCTGGTGACCTTGGTGAAACCAGCGATTTCCTCACTTTGGAGTGATTGGCTCTCGCTTCCTGTTTTGGCTGTGGGACAGGAAGTAAAGGGAAATCTTCATAATGGAACACAGATGGTGAAAAAACTGACAGAGGTTATAACTGCTCCTTCCTCTATCCACAATGTTTAAAGTAGAAGTAAAGGCAAAACTATTTTTACAAGTAACATTTACTTTGTCAGCATTTTTAAACCTCTAAAAACAAACTCCCAATCCCCATGCAGCAAACAAAGTTTCAATCTTAAACCCTAACACCTAGGAGGAGCTAAACACTAAGGCCTTCTTGCACATGTGTGTAAAAAAGAAGAGATCTGAAATGAGGTGCATTGTTGTTTTGAGTAAAGATCAGTAATACAGTGATGAGTACAGAGCCATAAAACAAAAATAGAACATTTTTCATTTGAATGCAGTAATTTACTCATGTATAAAAGTAATAAACGAGTATATTACACCACTGGCAACGAAGAAGAATTTTACAAGTCTATAAGCTTACTCACGTTTACTCTCTTATACTCAGCATTCCTGTACCTAATGGTGATTCACACCTAAATACCAAATTAATAAAGTGCAGCGCTCCTAAATAAATAATAAATATAAATGTGAACAAAAAACTATATTATCAGTAGTGACCACACATATACATAAATAATGCTAGAACACCCATGTGTTATAGATCACTAATAGTACATAATGAATGAAGTGCAATTCAGGTGATTCAAAAATCACTTATAACATATATCAATCAGTCCTATGTGTCTTCATCTTCAGTGTAATCTTCCTCAACTGCCTGTGTGCCACACAGTAAAACACTTCCACCAATCATCCCTTTTGGGTGTACTATTGCCTGGAATATTGGACCTCTTAAATCACGCATAAGCCATATACCCCACAGGGGTTAATCCTCTCTCTTGTCTGTTATTTTCCATAATTCATTCACATAAATCCTAGATATTATGACACATTTTTTTTCTTCCCTAAATCCTCCAAGTACCTTATTCCTGCAGCACTGTTGTGTTATCACATGATCTTTCCCTGTTCTTTAACATCTGGAGGGAAAGATCCTCGGGAAGGGCTTCTGTTACTGCTGATGTATGCTCTCTACAGAATGAATGTGTCTGGCCAGCCCTGATTGGTGCTGTGTTTTACAGCTCCCTATATATCTGTATTGAATATCAGATATGTGTTTTTTGTGCATTCATATGGTGTAGGCAGTTAAAGATGATTGACACTAGTTTTCATTTTGTTCAGGGGGGAATCTGCATCCAAGGCTCTTTTTACTTTTACAGATATTAGCAATTACATTTAAGATATATGAAGCGGGTAAAATAAGTATTGAACACGTCACCATCTCTTTTTTTAGTAAATGTATTTCAAAAGGTGCTATTGACATGAAATTTTCACCACATGTTGGTAACAACCCATGCAATCCATACATACAAACCAAAAACAAAACCATAGAGACCAAAACAAATAAGTTCAGAAATTAAGTTATGTGCAATAAAATCACAGGGAAAAAGTATTGAACACACTAACTGAAATATATTTGTTGGCAATGACAGCTTCAAGAGGCTGCATGCATTGCTCAGGTGTGATTTTTGGCCCATTCTTCCACACAGTCTTCAAATCTTGAAGGTTCTTAGGACCTCTTCTATGAACTCGGATCTGTAGTTGTTTCCATAGATTTTCTATCTATTGGATTCAATTCAGGGGATTGGCTGGGCCATTGTAGCAGCTTTATTTTCTTTCTTTGAAACCAACTGAGAGTTTCCTTGACTTTGTGTTTGGGATCATTATCTTGCTGAAATGACCACCCTTGTTTCATCTTCATTATCCTGGTAGATGGCAGCAGATTTTTAACAAGAATGTTTTGGTACATTTTTCCATTCATCCTTCCTTCAATGATATGAAGTTTGCCAGTATCATGTACTGGAAAACAGCCCCACACCATGATGTTCCCACCTCCAAACTTCACTGTTGGTATGGTGTTTTTGGGGTGATGTGCAGTGCCATTTTACCTCCAAAAATGGTGTGTATTATGGCTTCCAAAGAGTTTGATTTTGGTCTCGTCTGATCAGACTATATTTTTCCAATATTTCACAGGCTTGTCTATATTTTGTGCGTGCATACAGGCCATGGTGGTTGAGTGAATTACTTATTGTTTTCTGTGAAACAATTGTACCTGCTAATCCCAGGTCTTTCTGAAGCTCTCCACAACTGGTCCTTGGCTCTTGGACACCTCTTCTGATAATTCTTTTCACTCCTCTGTCAGAAAGCTTGTGAGGAGCACCTGGTCATGGCTGGTTTATGGTGAAGTAATGTTCTTTCTACTTCCCGATTATGGCCCCAACAGTGCTCACAGGAACATTCGGAAGTTTAGAAATCCTTCAGTAACCAATGCCATCAGTATGTTTTGCAACAATAAGGTTGCCAAGGTCTTGAGAGAGCTCTTTGCTTTTACTCATCATAAGATGTTTTTTTTGTGTGACATCTTGGTAATGAGAAACATTTTTATAGGCCATCAGTTGAGACTGAACCAGCTGTTATTAATTTGCACTGACAAGGGGCAGGATTGCTTTCTAATTACTGATAGATGTCAACTGATGTCTTGGTTTTCCATACTTTTTTGTACCTCCCTTTCTTCATGTGTTCAATACTTTTTTCCATGTGTCATTCCATTTTCTTACACATAACTTAAATTTCTGAACTTATTTGTTTTTGTTTTCTTTGTATGGATTGCATGGGTTGTTACTGACATTGAAAGTTTCATGTCAATAGCACCTATAGAAATATATTTGCCTAGAAAAATGGTGACGCGTTCAACACTTACCACTGTGTGTATATTATATAAACATTTTTTTTTTTTGACGGAGATGTCAGGCATTAATACAGTAAACTCAACGCTCCACATAAGCGAGTTGAGCAAACAGTTCAGTTCACAGACATGAAAGCAGGTAAAAAAAAGCCTATAGGTATAATATAATATGACATACACAATCAAGATATTTTTGATATATTTAATACTGATTTATATTAAAACTAAGCTTTTTTTTTTTTTTGTTTTGTGAGTTTCTTGGTGAGTGACATCAATCAGCGTACTATAGTGTTTATCAATAGGAGAGCATGGAGCAAGGTAGGCGAGTGTCATTTAGCACTGTGTATACACCCACATGTGGGCTGAACAGATAAGTAAAGGAGGAAATGAAGAGCTTAGAAAAGAACTGAAACTGGAGCTTGCTCAGTAAAGACCACCAGCTTGTATACACAATCTCAGCCTGCAATGGTGACACAGAAGATAGAAGGGAAAGCTGAAGGCAGGATCAACCAGATATATATCACTCTACACAAAACAAATGCTTTTGTGGCTTTGTGAGTATGTGCACTCTGTTTTATATAGCATGTAATTAGAGATGGGGTTTTTTTTTTTGTTTTGTTTTGTTTTTTTTTTTTCATAAGTCTGTTTCCTCAGATTCTTGGGAATGCTAGTGTGATGACCTCATACTTGTGGCTCTGCCTTGTGCATTACGCTTTTAGGATTTCATCAGATAGTGGCGTAAGGGTGCCTCTAAGGGCATAATGCGCAAGATGGAGCTACAAGTGTGAGGCCATCACAGGAGCATTTCCAGGAGTTTAAGGAGGCAGGATTGATCTGTTTTAGCAACAGAGAGAGCGGTGTATGGGAATCTAATAAGCGATCCATCTACCTATGTGAGTGGTGTTAATCTTTTATTACTGAGACCAGCAGGAATCTGAAGCCTTGTGTTTCATGTTTTGTGGGCAGAGCCACTCGCCTATGAGCCATCCTGGAAGATTCCTGGGTATGATGGTATCGGGTAACTAACTTGTATTTATTTTTTAAAGGAGGCAGCAACGTCAGTACCCATATTTCTCTCAAGACAGGTGTACATTAGATCTCAACTTGTAAACATTTTTTAACCACACAGTTGTCCAAATTATATTATCTGCAGGAAACATTACGTAAACTTTTGGAACAGACCTCAACTACCTTTGCTGATGATCTTTACTATCTAAACAAAAAGTATGAAGAACTTTTCTACAAGTGGATGTTACAGCTGCAGTAAGTTATCATGTCTTCGTTTTGCCATGTTACATTTGGTGTCTCTTGCTTTTGAGAAATGTAAAGCTGCTTATATAGTGAAAGGGATTTTTAGTGAGCTGTGGTAATGGCCACTTTAACCACTGTCTGTTTTTGTATTTGTTATTAGAAACTAAAAAAAAAATGATTGCAGGGTAAACCTTTTACAAATATTTGGAGCTTCCAGCATTCAGTTGTGCTGTTTAATACTGTATATAATTTTTGTATAATTGATTACTCAGTCTGTTCATGACCAGGGCTACTTTGTATCTTTGTGACCTGTGGAGTGTTTTTTTTTTTTTCCCCACTTGGGTACATACAAACTGCTTGCTCATAGTGTGGCTGTCCATGTATGTTTGTTTCTGAATGTAAAGGGCACAGTGATATAGGTTTTTTAAAAATATAGATTATCCAATAGATCTCAACTACTACGGTCACCCTCTTCTTCTATCCTATGCTCCCTCACTCACATATTCAATCTCTCCCTCTCTAATGGTGCCTTCCCCACCCCTCTAAAGCATGCACAGATCACTCCCATACTTAAAAAGCTGTCACTGGACCCCACCAACCTGAACAACTTAAGACCCATCTCCCTGCTCCCATTTACCTCTAAACTCTTAGAATGCTTAGTTAATCGCCTGAACTCCAACCTCACTGACAACAACCTTCTTGACCCTTTATAGTCTGGCTCTCTGCGGCTTTTGATACTGTTGACCATCCCTCCTCCCTCAAAATAAACTCCACTCTCTTGGCCTCCAAGACTCTGCTTCTCCTGGTTCTTCTACCTATCGCAGCGCTTCTTCAGAGTTACCTATAACTCGGTCTCCTCCTCTCCGCTTCCTATTTCTGTAGGGGTCTCTCAAGGTTTTGTCCTTTGACCTCTTCTCTGTCTACACCTCCTCCCTTGGTCACTTGATAAACTCCCATGGCTTTAAGTACCATCTCAATGCTGATGACACACAAAACTATCTTTCTACTCCTCACCTCACCCCTCAGTCTCCTTTCACATTACTAACCTACTAAGTGACATATCAGCATGGATGTCACTTCACTCCTCAAATATTTCCAAAACTGAGCTCATACTATTCCCTCCAGCCCATGCCCCCTCCCCTGACTTCTCCATCAAGATCAATAATGCAACTATCAGACCATCCCCTCATGCCAGGGTACTAGGTGTAATCCTAGACTGCCATCTGTCCCTTCAGCCCCAAATCCAATCACTGTCCAATTCTTGTAGACTTCACCTTCGCAGCATCTCCAAGTTATGCCTGTTCTTAACCTCTGAAACCACTAAACAACTTATTCACTTCCTTGTTATCTCTCGCCTTGACTATTGTAACTCCCTCCTCATTGGCCTACCTCATCACAGGCTATCCCCTCTTCAGTCTATCATTAATGCTGCTGCCAGACTCATCCACCTTACTAACTGTTCCATATCTGCCATCCCTCTCTGCCAATCCCTCCACTGGCTTCCCATTGCCCAACGAATAAAATTAAAAACATTAACAATAACATATAAAGCCATTTATAACTCTACCCCAAAGTACATCACCAATCTTGTCTCCAAATATCACCCAAACCGTCCTCCCTGCTCCTTCCACGATCTCCTGCTCTCTAGCTCCCTTCTCTCCTCCTCCCATGCTCGTCTCCAGAGCCTCCCCCATCCTCTGGAACTCTCTACCCCAGTCTATCCAATTATTGCCTATTCTGCCCACATTTAGGCGATCTATGAAAACCTATCTCTTCAGGGAAGCCTATCCTGCCTTAGCTAATAACAGAATCTTATTCTTCTATTCCTCCTATCAATTCATCCCCCACAGTTATTACCTTTTGTACCACCAGCCCCTCTTTCTTAGATTGTAAGCTCCAAGAAGCAGGGCCCTCCTAACACTTTTGTATTGAACTGTATCGTTGCTGTATTGTCTCCCTTTTATATTGTAAAGCGCTGAGCAAACTGTTGGTGCTATATAAATCCTGTATATTAATAATAATCACTGTAAGATGAAAGTCAACCTGGTAGTAACATTCTGGTCACAAGAAGTATATAAGAACTGTGTGCCCCTGTACTTGTATGTGCCCATTCCAGCACATGATACCATGGGTGTGTATTCCCAACAGACACAGGTGTGGGTAGGGCTGCTCACATGTCTTAGACCTCTACAAATTGTTCTGGGAATACCAATAAATCATGCTGTAGTTATAAGCCTCTTTGTCTTTAGTGGAAGCAGATTTCTTCCATGAAGAAGTTGTCTTTTATTAAGTCAGTTCTTTGTGTTTCCTTATCAGTCTTGGTTTCAATATCATCCTGTTTGGTTTGGGCTCCAAGAGGAATCTTATAGAGACATTTAGAACATCCATGCTACAGGATTCTCTCCACATTGTCATCAATGGATTCTTTCCAGGCATTACAATTAAATCGGTAAGGGTCCTTCAATAACCAGTTTTTGTACAGGAATGGTTTTACAGGTGGAGGCCACTGACATTTTTTCCCCTACTCATCTCATCTTTTCTGACTGGTTTTCACTAGTTTTGCATTTGGCTAGAGTCAGTGTCACTACTGGTAGCATGAGGTGATACCTGTACCCTACAGAGGTTGCACAGGCAGTTCAACTCCTCCAGGATGATACATCAATATGTGCCATTGCCAAAAGGTTTGCTGTGTCTCTCAGCAGTCTCAAGAGTATGGAGGAGATTCCAGGAGACAGGCAGTTACTCTAGGAGAGCTGGGCAGAGCCATAGAAGGTCCTTAACCCATCAGCAGGCCCGGAATCTGCTCCTTTTGTGCAAGGAGGAACAGGATGAGCACTGCCAGAGCCCTACAAAATGACCTCCAGCAGGCCACTGGTGTGAATGTGTCTCTGACCAAACAATCAGAAACAAACTTCATGAGGGTGGCCTGAGGGCCCAATGTCCTCTAGTGGGCCCTGTGCTCACTGCCTGGCACCACAGAGCTTGATTGGCATTTGCCATTGAATACCAGAATAGGCATGTCCGCCACTGGTGCCTTGCGTTTATCAAAGATGAGAGCAGGTTCACCCTGAGCACATGTGACAGATGTGAAAGGGCCTGGGGAAGCCGTGGAGAATGTTATGCTGCCCGTAACATCGTTCAGCATGACTGTTTTGGTGGTGGGCCAGGATGGTCTGAGGAAGCATATCCATGGAGGGATGCACAGACCTCTACAGGCTACACAATGGCATCCTGACTGCCATCAGGTATCGGGATAAAATCCTTGGACCCATTGTCAGACCCTATGCTGGTGCAGTGGGGTCCTGGGTTCCTCCTGGTGCATAACAATGCCCAGCTTCATGTGGAGAGAGTATGCAGGCAGTTCCTGGAGAATGAAGGAATTGATGCCATTGAATGGCTCCCACGCTCGCCTGACTTAAATCCAATAGAACACCTCTGGGATATCATGTTTCAGTCCATCCGAATCCGCCAGGTTGCACCTCGTACAGTCTAGAAGCTCAGATCCAGCCCTGGTCCAGATCTGGGTAGTTATACCCCACTACACCATTCGTTGTCTCATTTGGAGCATGCCTCGATGTTGTCAGGCATGCATACAAGCACGTGGGGGCCATACAAACTACTGAGTACAATTTTGAGTGGCTGCAATTAAATTTCAGCAGAATGGACTAGCCTGCTGCATAATTTTTTCATTTTGATTTTCAGGGTGTCTTTGAATTCAGTCCTCTGTAGGTTGGTAATTTTCATTTCCATCAAATGATGGGGCATCCTTGCATTCCTAGCTCATTACCCAGTCCATATCAGTATATATAACAAACAACCATGCAGCGCTAGTAAACATAATATTGCATGCAAATCCTCATACGGTGCATATAATAAAAGTGCATATAGTGAATGGTAAAATGAACACCACTTAATATTGAAAATAGATTTAAGAAATTATCCTAAAAGTCCAGGGATAATAATGATGATGAATAAATAAATAAATCAATCAAAATCTTCAACAAGAGTGTTCTTGCGGTGTATGATGTAAACCAATTTCAAGGTAAAATGGTGACACAATAAGTGACTTCTGTGACCATATTCTTCCCACAGAAATGAGTGTAGATTGCACTAACCAGAAAGCGCAATGGTAATGCGCATTTGAGTGTTAACCAACTCCTGGTCATCCGGCTAATGGTACTGGAACTGGATCATAGAGCGTGGTCATCTGGCCTGCATCAGCTGGGCAAACATCACAACCTCAGGGTCTCCAGATAGCAGAGGACGTGTAGTCGTTTCACCACCGGGGGGAGTCTAACCAATCATGTATAGTGAGCAGCTGGTAGCAGGGAATTCCAAAATGGCCGCCGGCCGTCCACAGGGGCCATGCAGTGTGACGTCACAGGGTATAGAGCACCTCACTAACGCGTTTCGTGCAATGGCACGTTATCCACGTTAGCTCTATACCCTGTGACGTCACACTGCATGGCCCCTGTGGACGGCCGGCGGCCATTTTGGAATTCCCTGCTACCAGTGCTCACTATACATGATTGGTTAGACTCCCCCCGGTGGTGAAACGACTACACGTCCTCTGCTATCTGGAGACCCTGAGGTTGTGATGTTTGCTCAGCTGATGCAGGCCAGATGACCACTCTCTATGATCCAGTTCCAGTACCATTAGCCGGATGACCAGGAGTTGGTTAACACTCAAATGCGCATTACCATTGCGCTTTCTGGTTAGTGCAATCTACACTCGTTTCTGTGGGAAGAATATGGTCACAGAAGTCACTTATTGTGTCACCCTTTTACCTTGAAATTGGTTTACATCATACACCGCAAGAACACTCTTGTTGAAGATTTTGATTTATTTATTTATTCATCATCATTATTATCCCTGGACTTTTAGAATAATTTCCTAAATCTATTTTCAATATTAAGTGGTGTTCATTTTACCATTCACTATATGCACTTTTATTATATGCACCGTATGAGGATTTGCATGCAATATTATGTTTACTAGCGCTGCATGGTTGTTTGTTACATTTTAGTTTGAGGCTCCTGGTGTTTGCCTTTCATGCAAGTCGCTTTTTGGTTGTTTATCCAGCGCTCGTATCTTTTCTGTTTTCATATCAGTATATATATCCGGCATGATCTTTTTCCCCATTGAGATCTGATGTGTTTTCAAAGTGTTCCTTTAATTTTCTGAACAGTGTATTTATTACAGTTTGATTTGCAGTTGTGATTTTTATTTATTTTTATGTTATATTCCACATTTTAAAGTTTTTTGTTTGGGGTTAACCATTATCTGTAAAACCCACATTTTTGATGTACTAGCTAAGAGGCACTTTATCATTTTATCTAAAAATATTTGGGCAAAGCAGATCAACTCATTAGCAACTTAGCAATCCTTGGATCCTTTTTATGGATTTAAAAAGGTCTGGTGAAAGCAGGAGTTTTATTTTATCTTTGTTTAGCCCAGAATCTGTGAAACTGAACACAGGTTATATTGAGCACCCCCTCTCCCCCAACCACTGATGCCCACATACTAATGGAAAGGGGAAGCACAGAGAAGGTGCTGTTATTTCTTCTCTATTAAGTATAACTAAAGGCAAAACTTTTTTTTTTTTAGCTTCGGATAGAGTGAAGAGGGATTAGAACCTCAGTCTGCAGTCTGTGACCCCATTAAGGAGATTCACCCTCTCTATTTGTCCTGTTTACCATTCTCGAATGTGAAAGTAAAAGAAAATCCAAATTTTGGGTTGTCCCCAGAAAAATAATAAAGGAGAAATCTTCCAATTAATTATTCCACTTAATTATTCCAATTATGTTTTGTGGGGTGCCAGGTAATAATACTTTTTTTTTTTTTTTTTTACTTTTTTTACACCACCACAGTGGATACTGGATTTTATGAACTGTAGCACACAGAAGTCAGAGAGAACTGCTCTGTTCAGTTCGTGTCTGCCTGGAGGTACAACATTGCTGACCAGAGCTGTGTGTGTGACACACGCCATTAGCGTGAAGGGGCTGTCCTGTTCACATAAACATATCGGTTGTCTGTAGGTGAAGGCTATGTGATGGATGGATGGCCGAACTATATTATTATAAACATGATCCCCAACTATTCAAACTTTTCTCACCGTTAAACCATGGCATTATAGGTACATTTGTGTATTTACCAGTTCTGGACCATTGAACAGCATGTGTTTCCTTTCACTTTTATAAATCAGTCTACTCATAAAAACTGTTTAGAATAGTGTCGTGTTTGGGTTTTTTCTTGTGTTTTTTTTTTTTTTTTTTATAAAAATAGAGAATGTGATTGGTCAGTGTGCTTTTATGTATGAGACCAAATCAGTGTACAAAGATTAATCCTAATATTCTTTAATTGTATTTCTACATAGATTTTAAACTCCATCACAGAAGAGGCTTTAGGTCACTCTGGGACTTTTCGCAGCCCCTTGGATCAAATGGACTTCATTTTACAGAAGTTCAAAGACAGTACGTTAAAGATATATGCTGTATTAATCATTATCAATGAACATAAATGTATCGTCTTTCCAGCAAACTATTGTGTAGAATCAGTAAGGTACTCTGCACAATGTACAGCTATAGGAATGGAAAAATGTTGCTTTCTCCAGCTACCTAACCAGAAAGGAACCCATAGAGTTGTGTGGATTCACAAGTAGATCACCATTCATATTCTATGTAGAGATCTAAATATATGCGTCATTAGAAACCAGAATGTATTTGATTGGGTCAATTTTCTGTAATTAAACAGTTCTCACTTTAAAACTTTAGCTGTCCATAGAAAGATAGAACTGTTACTGAGAACATCCACTACAGTGTTTACTCTGTGTTGGATAGAATGTGATTGTGGAGTTCACGTGTCAAAAAGATTGTCCAGTTTCTTTCTTTTTATTTTTTCTTGGAAAACATGACAAGAACATCTAATACTTACATATGCCTTGGGCCTTGTTCAAAAGTGACTTTTTACTACTGGTTTATCACAAGAGATCCTTAAATATCTTGCTTGGTTTAGAGAGCCAGCCCATGCATTACCTATTTAGCTTTGTACACTTGAGAATTCGTCTGGTTGCTGTTGCCTGTAAAGCTAGAAAAGAGACATTTAATTCAGTTTTGTGTTTATTAATAAATGACCAAATTTATGTTTTAAATACAACTAGTATTAATCCTTTTACTGTCATATGTCAGTGGCAGGTGGGGGGTTCTATACACACTCCTGGCTGCTGTAGCATTATAAATCTGCCACGCCAACTCTTGGCTGTCATATGGTAGTAATCTGGTGGCTGTACAGCTGCCAGTCACTTTCACGCACCTTCATTACATACATGCTTCCCCCCCCCCCCCCCCCCCAGCTTCCCCCCAAGGTGCCACAGGGTAGAGGAGAGAGACCAGCAAATATCTGTCCATTGATGTCCCTACCTAGTAGGAACCTGGAATTGGCATGCAATACTGACTTCTGGGTTTGGCTGTTCTTTTGCCTTGCCGCAATATGCACTCCATTAGCTCCAGGGGAGACTTTAGGGGTCTGATGTGTCAATAAATAGTACCCGTTGAAACAAAATTGTATCACATAGGAGACTTTAGGTATTGATCACTTGCAATCTACTGCACAGCATTCAGACTAGGAGAGGGAGGGGCAGGAGTAGGACTCACTCAGGTGTGATAGATGTAAATGTGGTGACAGTGAACATTCTGATAGAAGAATTAAACAATGAGCAGACGGATGACCTCAGTAAACTGTGGCTGCTCTTCTCGCTCCAGTCAGCAGGTTTGGGGTGGAGAGTGGAAACCACTGTGCCCATTGAAAGTATAGAACTGCAATTAAGAAAATGGTGTCATCAACCTGGCTGTGCTGTGTGGCAGGGCTGTGAAAATCTTAGTGCTGGATGGATATAATTACATAATCCGTCAGCAGGTAAGGGCCTGTGTTGATGGGCTTTTGTTCAAGTTCCCATTCCCATACAAGTCTATGAGAATGTAAATCCTACTTGAAGTGGATCACCTGCAGGTGAAATTAATTCTTCATGATCTGGGTCAAAACTGATGCCATTGACACAAGTCCAACACCTATCAACACGAGCCTTAAAACGGCTCTACAATATATGTATTTAATTTGTGTATTTACCTGTTAACCTGGAATTCAACTTTGATTTCAGTGCTAGCAGGTCACCTTTTTCCTTTACGGAAACGGATGGTTTGGGTTTATCTGTTTTCATGCTAACATTGTAATGAACAAGAATAATTTGTGTTCTTTTCTAATAATCTTGAGTCATTTTTCCATATTTATGTATTTGAAGCTTTTACTATGTTACATAACTACAGCAGCTGCCTGTCTGGTCAGTGGCATTTTCATAATGAGTTAGTTCATTTTGTGTTATCAGAGCTGTTCACCGTGGATGGGTGCTTAATGAGCTGTTGATTTGTAAGACGGTTTTCTTTGCTGTCTGCTACCTAAAAATATGATTCAGACCGCAGTTTTTACACTGAAAATAAGGTCATTGTGGAATTAAAACCAGTCAACAATGTGTTTTTTAACATTTACTTTCTGATGCTAAATGTTAATTCACTCAGACACTGCGTACAGTCATTGCTTTGTTTTAATATCTTAATATCATACAGAAAACATGTTGTTGCATTGAGCTTTCTTTCCTTTCTTCACCTGATGATCTAGCCAGTAACTGATCCAATGGAGTGAAGCTACCTTTGAACGACAGCATTGTCTGCCTGTGGGGAGGATAGTGTTAGATGCACCAGCAGATTTAGATGGATTTGACTAACAAATTAAAGCTGAACTCCAGGAAACGCTTAGACTGGGTTCACACCGGTGTGCTGTGTTTTGGCCGCAGCACGGGTGTATGCACGGTTTGCGTATGTTTTTACATGTGTTTTTAGCCACAGTCTCGTGGACTTCTATTAGCTTGCAGCAAAAATACGCAACCTAATAGAAGTCAATGGGACTGCAGCTAAAAACGCATGCAAAATACCCATAGACCAGGCATTCACACTGGCGCTTCTGCCAAAACACAGCATGCCAGTGTGAACCTGGGCCTTAGGCAGTTACAGCACTGTTTTTTTGTTTTGTTTTTTTTTTTCCCTTTTTGTGATAAATGTTTTACATAAATCCAATAAAAGATTATCATTTTTAGCATCCCAGCCATTCTTAAATGTTTTTTCTCAACCCTCTAACTGCCACTTTTAGCTGGACAGCTTGGTCTGTTAAAGGAAGAAGAACAGACTGGCTGGATCACCCAGCAAAAATAAAGGGAAAGAAAACTAATGCAGTCAACCCAATTAAAGTGATTCTAAAGTCAAAGGGTTCTATACCTTACTCTCTTTTATTAAGGTAATAAACCGTCCACTGCCTGTTCTTCCCTCAAGCCATCCTTAAACACTTACGCCTGGTACACACAGGCAGTTTTTTTCATTCAACCCAGTGGGTGAATGAAAAAAACTGAGGTGCTCACTGTATTAACTATGTGATGTTAGTACAGTGATCTCTTTCCCATACCCCGCCCCCAAAGCACACGGCTCAGCGCTTGCAGCCTGTTTTTCCAGCATGCCTATTCGACAGAAGCCGGACAGGCTGCTGTACACTGTCTGAATGTCGGACGGTTTCTGTTGAACTGGCCGATAGCGAACGATATTTAGCCTGTGTGTACCAGGCTTTATTGGAGTCCTCCACTGATCAGTGGATCAGGGGTGGAATGTCAGGCTTCTGCAGACAAGCTCTGCAGCTTTCAACCTGTGCCTCCATACAGGCTGTCAGTTTCAAATCTTGCAGGGCTTGTGAATGAAACTACAGGGGAGCTCATCAGCGCCCTTGCAGTTCATTGCAAACTACATGCGGTCTGCCACAGTGGCTGACTGTACTTATAGTTTATTCACCTGAAACACTGAATGAATGAATCAGCCATGTGGCCGGAGCCCTGCACTTCTGTGCTTTTTTTGAATTGTGACAGTAGGTGCAGGAAGAACACCACTCGCCTGCTGTCACACTGAGGGAGGGATTGGGGGAAGAGGCTGCTGGAGCTGGAAGATGTTACATTTTCCACCCTAAATATTGGTGGAACATGTAACCTGTTCCAAAAGGTGAACTTATTCTTTAAGGACTGGTAAGCTGCTTTTTTTTTTTTTTTTTTGTTTTTTTTTTGCTTAATTCTATTTTTAAAATATCATATTTGTCAAATTACACTTCCCTCTTTTTTTTTTTTTTCCTTTCAGATTGCTCCTTGGTACTTTATCTTCTCATACATAATTTGGACAGTCATATGTTAAGAGGAGACAAAAGTCAACAGGTCCTTGGACAACTGGCTTCAATCTCTAACATTCACCTTCTTGCATCTATTGATCATATTAATGCTCCTTTAAGTAAGTGTTTTTTTTTGTTTTTTGTGTTTTTTTGTTTTTTTTATATCAGATATTTTTTAGTGGCGAGTCCAGGGTCGCCTTCCACTTCCTGCACCAAGATGATAAGTCATGTAAAGCTGTGCCATGTGTGAAGTTCTTCTCTATATTCACAAATGTCTGACACAGATGAGCTCTTGTTGCAGGCTTTCTCTCTATAACCTGCTACAAAGTTAGTTATGGTTTCTGCGGAAACTGAGGAAATGTTTTTTTCCTGCCTACAACAGACATACCCTATGAAAAGTCACTTACTGGTGTAACAGGGTGGCCCTTCTCAAAGTAAATTTGTCAAAAGCCTGGATGGCATGCCAGCATAGTATAGTGCAATAGTAACTTGTATTAAGAAAAAAATCTGTCTTACATGTTCAGATCTTTCAGAGCGAATTCACACTGACACTCTCTGAAACCACAGAGCGGTCAAAGCAATTCACTGCTATGGCCACTCTGTGTTGCCAGCTGCTAGGGGGCAGTGTATTGTGGAATTTTTGTTTGTTTTGTACAAGCTTTATTTGAAGTGTACAAAACCTACACTTCATTCACTGCAATGTTGGACAGTGTGATGCACTGCCCGACATTGCAGGGTAATTCAAGCCGGTGTGCTGCAATAAAATGCAGGCCAGAGGGGAGATCTGGGGTCTAATAGACCACTTCGGTATAACCATAACCTGAAGATGACATGATGTCCCTATTGGTGGGAAGTGGTTAAAATACTGAAATGCCTGTTTTGTATTGGAGAAAAATCCTGCATTTGAATATGCATATTCGTATTATAGGACAAGTAATTATATCTGTAACTCTGCTCCATTTCATTGTGTGCTCATTCTGTTATTCAGCTGGTCATTGGAAGATGTGAACAGTACTACACAGACTGAACTAGTTCACAGGGGGAGATTCGAGGTTTTATTGTCAAAGCCTATTTGAACAAGCTGATTTTATAGAGGCTCATTGGCCACCATGCACAGCTGCACAATAATTTGAGTTCTCCAGTTTTAGTAAATTTCCCCCACAGTGTTCTGTTTAGCAGTTATAAAAACTCAGCACTTCTTTTTTCAGTGTGGGATCAGTCAAAGCAAAGCCTGTATAATTGGCTATGGTATGAAACTACAACATACAGCTCCTATGTGGAAGAGACATCCTATGAAAACTCATTGCTGGTTAAACGTTCTGGAGCTCTGGCCCTTAGCTCCCTTACTCATGTGATGCGCAGTCTTACCCCAAATGCCAGGTGAGAAAAATCTGCTACATTTTAATCTACTACATTTTAGCCATATTGTTACAGTCCTGCACAAGCTTTTCTAATATTTCTGGTCACAGAGCTGTTTAGATCTCTAAATATAATCTGTTAACAATTCCGTCTCAATATCTTCAGCTTGGCGCAATCTGTTTATGTGGAGATAAGCTGATTTCGTAGGCAAACCATCTAGAAAAAAAGTTATTCCACCGCAACCACTATTGTAATAACATGATTGACAAGTGAGGTGCAAGAATTAAACCCCATAGGGATTTTTTTTTTTCTCTTAGACTCGTTCATCTATAATAGGAGTCTCCAAACTTTTTTCTAACAAAGGGCCAGTTTACTTTTCTTCAGAATTTAGGAGGGCCAGATTGTGACCTGGTGGGGGTAGAAAATGTCCCGGGCCCAGAATCCTTGAGAATAAACATGGCCTCGGGGTTGGCAGTGAGTTACAGAAGGAGTAGTGCCCCTTTATTGGTATTAGTAGGCGGAATAGTATCCCATCATTGGTATCAGTGGAAGAAACAGTGCCCTACTGTTGGGGTCACTGCGAGGAATAGTGCCCGAAGGGCTGTATAAAGGCTAGCAAAGGGCCACAGTTTGGAGCCCTAAACTATAATGTGCTGAGGAGGGGCCACATAGGTGCTAATTTTTAAAAAAGTTTCTACATACTTAAAACTTTCGATACCTCATATACCGGAAGCTGTGCAGTGGGCTTTTCTTGCCAAGTCAGGATATAAACTGCTTCTCAATTTTCTGTGTGGCTCAGTATGTTGCAAAGTGTATGGCAATATACCCAGTGTAAATAAAGGTGAAAAAAATGTGTACACACATCTTTTAGCACCAACTAGTTCCATAAGAGCTTATTCACACTGGACATATTGTCATGCATTTTGCCACATATTCGGCTACAGGCACAGTACACGTACACATGTAAATCTATTGTTTTACCACAGGTCTCATTTCCGTTAATGTTTTGCCCTCTGTGGTCCCGTTCATGTGTATCAAATAGGTTCTTTCAAGACCTCTCTGTAATGTTTTTAAAATGATGTGTATTTCTTTGCAGTTGCAGATTTGAGTGACCTTTTATGTTTTAAAGCAAACCTGTCAGGAAAAAAAATCTGCCTCTACTAGACATTCTCCTTTATTCTCCCACTGCTCAGATCGCTGTTGACACAGTGTAAAAATCACAGTACTGTCTGGTATGTGGAAGCATGCTGCATACCTCTCCATAATGCTGCTATAGGAGATCACCAAGCCCAAAAGCTGTCACAGTGAAGGGGGTAGGTTCAATGAAGCTTGATACTAGGTATGGTTGACAATTGTCATTGGCTTTGTGGGGGAGCAGAGGTGCCCTAGGGTGGATTAGTTGTGTAGTGACAAGTTGTCTTTGAAGTATTTGTAAATCCTTATGCAAAACAGAGATTTCCTACGCTTCGTGCATAAATATGTGGCAACAGCAATAATTAAATATTTGAATTGCTAGATATCAAAACATACTTCTCACTAAATAGATGCACTGTCAACTTAACCACTTGGCTTCGAGAGGATTTACATCCCCCCCCCCTCCCCCCTTCCTGACCAGGCCACTTTTTGTGATACGGCGCTGCGTTACTTTAACTGCCAATTGTGCAGTCATGCAATTCATGTCCTTTTTTTCCCACAAACAGAACTTTCTTTTGGTGGTATTTGATCACCTGTGTTTTTGTTTTTGTTTTTTTGCGCTATAAACAAAAAAGACCAACCATTTTTGAAGACAAAAATTTTTTTTTTGACTTTTTGCTATAAAACATATCAAGCAAAAAAATTTTAATAGTCAAATTGTGTCATAAATTTAGGCCAAAAGGTATTCTGCTACATGTCTTTGCTGAAAAAAAAAATCCCAACACGTGTAAATTAATTGGTTTATTTGAAAGTTATAGCGTCTACAAATGGGGGTATATATACTGGAATTTAAAAAATATTTTAATAGTAATGGAGGCGATCAGCGACTTATAGTGGGACTGCGGCAGGCACGCTGACACTGGGTGGGAACTGGCTAACTGCCATTGACATCCCAATGACACTAATACAATGATTAGTGCTAATAAAAAGCACTGACACTTTACTAATGACACTGGGCAGGAAGGGGTTAACATCTGGGGCAATCAAAGGGTTTACTGTGTGTGTTGTGTGTCTTTTACTAGGCAAACATGCTGCTGTGTATTTTCTCTGCTGTGCAAATACACAGAGAAATACACAGCAACATGTATAATGTTATTGCTGGCAGGAGAGAGACCTGTGTTTTACACACCGGTCTCATCCCTGTCACTGTTTGCTGGTGGGGAATTTCCGACCGGGACCAATGGCGGAAATGCAAATCACGTGTATATATACATGATTTTGCGCAGCCCCGCTGCCCTATAGCAGTATTTCTGTTTATAGGGGGGAGGGGAAGTGGTTAAGGCACTATTCATACTAATGTAGATACAACACTGTATTGTTAATAACGTTAGTGCAACTATATGAAGAAAATTAAGATTAAAAACCATCAAAGTTTAATAAGCAAATAGTCCCAAAGTTGACAATATTGAACTGTGAATCAATTGCAGTGATAAATGCTCTCCAATTGAATGACATCAGTGCTCCAATGGTAAATCTGGTTCGACATGGCTCCAGACAGATGGAAAGACTGCAACACATAGACATGAAATTTGCCTCGTGGTGGCCCAGCCACAATATTTTTAACAGATACTCGTCTGCTATGGCTTCATGCATATGGCATATTATCAGGGAAGGATGACCGTGTGGTGGAAAACACAATGAGCGTAATCCAGACATCTTCTTGGTTTTTGCATACTGTGATTTTCACATTTAACTCATGTGAGTGGATTACTGCAATATATTTTCCCGAGTCATTCTTCTAGGACAGCTCACTTGAGAGATAGGGCTCCTCCCAGAAAACCACCCGCTCCACCTTTTTTTTTTTTTTCCCCTTTATAGGCGTCCTCTCTCCCATTGGCCCCCAGTTTTAGTGTTTCCTCCGGCCAGGAAGGAGCTACGCCCGTTTTTTATTTTTTATCTGGGCTCTCTGGCGGAGTACAGAGGGTCCCTGGCTGGGCCCCCCCTTCCTCCAAGCAAGGCAGGGGCTTTTGTGAGGGGGGGGACCTTTCAGCCAGTTTCACCAGGGATGCCCGTTGTGGGGTGGGGGGCGTCGGCCCCAGATGGTCCCAGCGGGGCTCTCCAGGGGGGTAGAGCCCGCTCCGCCGACCGAGGCATTGGTGCCTTTCCCTGGGGGTTCAGGTAAGTCTTACCTGCTCCTGGATCCCGGCAGCATGGCCAGGAGGCTCGGCTGCGGTGGGTCTGGACGCTGCGATCTCGTCACTTCCGGGCGCCGGGTGTCGTCACTTCCGGGCGCCGGGTGTCGTCACTTCCGGGCGCCGGGTGTCGTCACTTCCGGCGCAGGAGCAGGGAAAACGGCCGCCGCCATCTTGGAAATGGGCGGCGGGCCGTGGAAGGAAACCCGTGCCACGGCCGCTTCTCCACCGGCGGCCGTGAGAGGGGGGATCGCAGGGGGGGGGCGGAGCCCACCAGCCCCTGAAAAAAACCGTCGCACCGAGGCAGAGTCTGCGGCGGCATGGAGGCAGATCTGTCAGGAGCGGGGGAGGCCTGCAGTAAGGTAAGGCCTTGTTTGGCAAACTTCCTTTTGTTTTTACCCCCTCCTCCTCCCCCCCCCCCCTCTTCCCCCCCCCCCCCCTCCCCGGGATGATTGGGTACCCCCCACGCACACACAGCCCCCCACTCTCCCCCCCCCCCCCCCCAGGCCCACAGCTGGAGCTTGCACAGTGGCACAGGGGGGGAGGCGTTGCTGTTACAGACGCATGAACGCGTGTATCTCCTTGTCCCCAGATGGGCCCACAGGAGGAGGATAGAGGGGAGAAAGAAGCTCCTTGTGAGCAGAAAAAGAAGTGTGCCACTTGTAGGAAGAAACTGGCGAGCTCCTGGAGGAAGCAGCTCTGCCAGGGGTGCATAGACAAGCTCATCAAGAAGGAGTCTGGATCTCTTTTTAAAGACTTCCTACAGAATATGACACAAGAGATGTCCAAGACATTTCAAAGCTTCAGAGAACAGAAGCCGGGACCCGGCCCAGGATGAGCCCCCAACCGGGGCACTTCTGGCACCCAAGGGGGGAAAAAGAGGAAGCTGGTAGCGCCGGTAAGGGACTGGGAGGACGAACAGTCGGACACCTCAGACTCGGAGGAGGGTGAGATTGAGGCTCAGGGCCCAAAGGCAGACAGGTTCCTTTTTCAGGTGGAAGACACGGAGGACTGCTAAAGGTGATCTATGAGACCCTGGATCTGGAGGAGGAACAGCAGGACCTCTCCCTCCACGACCAAACTGTACGCAGGGCTACAGCAAAAAAAGCAGCCGTACATTCCCAGTACACCCTGCCCTATGGTCCACGATCAGGAGAGAATGGGAAGAGCCAGAGAAGAAGGCTTTCCTTCCCAAGAACCTCAAGAGACGTTTTCCCTTTAAGGAGGAAGATGCCTCGGTTTGGGAGACTTGCCCAAAACCAGACGCCCCTCTCTCGAGGATCTCGAAGGACACGGATCTGTCCTTTGAAGACGGTGGGTCCCTAAAAGACCCGATGGATCGGAAAGCGGACGCCTTCCTGAAGAGGGCATGGGAAGCGTCCGCAGTGAATTTTAAACCTGCAGTGGCAACGACCTGTGTGTCCAGAACCCTGGATGTGTGGTTGGGGCAGTTCCGTTCGCATCTGGAACAAGGCACTCCGGGGGAAGAGATTCTGAAGTCCCTTCCGGTGCTGGAGAAAGCGGTAGCCTTCATCGCGGACGCATCAGCAGAGACCATCAGACTCTCTGCTAGATTCTACAGCGCTCATAAACACGGCAAGGAGGGCTATCTGGCTGAAATCGTGGCAGGGGGATCTGGCCTCCAAATCTAAACTCTGTGGCCTGCCGTTTGAGGTAAACTCCTTTTCGGCCCAG